TCGAATTAAATTATTTTTGTAGTTTTCTCCGAATAGACTCGAGGGATTTTATCAATAGACTCTCCTCTGGTTGTCCAACTTTTATTCCGAGAATTCGAATGAAGTTTACGTTTATCAAATAGCCATCTACAAACAAAACCTTTATATAAATCGTAAACTTCGATCATTAACTAATTCAAAAACCCAAACTCACTAGTTTAAATTTAATAATTTTAAATCATGGATGGTGAAGGCTAGTCCTGTATGTTTGGTAAAAATTCCTCAACTCTGTTATTCTTAACTTTAAGGAAACCACCCTCAATACTTGCATTATTTTAATTATCGTCCCCTTTTGTTAATTGTTCCTGGTTTACAATTTAATCTACCTTTATTTAATAAACAGTTTCAAAGAATTATTAAACAAATTAACCGTGGTCCTTTAAATCACCGCTTTTTTGATGTTTTAAAAAAGTTGTTTAAGTCTTTATTTTGAACATAGTGTGGAGTACGTAAAGTGGGTTTTTCCTGAACCCTGTTTTACAACAATTGTCGTGATTATATTTATCGAACTTTACCAAATCCAAAGTATTTTACGAAGATCATCCCTAAAAGACCTTATAAGTCCTACTTAAAAGACTTGCAGAACGTAGACTTACTATAGAAAATGCAAAAAAATGGAACTTAAAACGACAATTATCAAAATCAAAAATATGCAAAACCTTGAAACTTAAAACTGAAATTATCAAACTAAAACAAATTCAAAATATATTCTCCACAATTGGCGGATCAACTGAATGGTAATGTTCTGTGGACTGCCCAGCTGTTACAGTTGTACAATAAAACAGGGGTAACAAATGCTTTCATGCAGCTTGAATTTGACCGGAAAAAATGCGGAGTGTCTCTCTGCCCAACCTTGCTGATCAAAAGCATAGTGTTTGCGCAGGGCTCTCCTGTTGCGCCCTCCCCCCCCCACACCCCCCCCCCCCCCCCCCCCCCCTACCTCGTCTTTATCTGCAATGTAGAAGTGGACATGTTTCTGATTTTGTCCTCGTTTCCCACAACAAGTACCATTCTTTTAGATCCTCCTTACATAAGGGCACATTTCTTTAAGACCCATCGACGAATCCACAGACGGAATCCACAGACAGAATCAAATCAGCCCCCTGCACATCATGCCCTGACCACCGGCCACACCATCCTCCTGGAACAACTCGAAGTCCTCAAATCCCTCACCTCACGCTCCCAACTTGACCTCACAGAACACGCAGCTATACAAATACGACAAACCAGCTATTAACAGAACAGAACCGCGCACCCAAATGTAGTTCCCTCTGGACCCAATCTCCTAAAATTGCCCAATCCTAAAGTCCAGACCCATCTGGCATTTCCGTTCACGAAACCTAACAAAGACTACAATTTTTTTTTGACATTGTACGGTAATTTTCACTTTCCCACCCACACTCCCCACCCTCCATCCCTGAAACCCTCCAATCACATGAAAGCATTGTCCACCACATCACATTCAGCTGACGAGATTAACACATGTTTATTGAAAGCTTCTACAATTAAATCATCGTAATCTCTTAGATGTTTTTTACGCAACTCCACTCTCAATTTCTTTAAGAGTTCCTCATCCTCTGCTGCAAAATCGCCATCGTCGGCGTATTCCCCCATTTCAATAGGCCCATTAGTAACGGTGATACTCGTATAATAGCTGTTTCCATAGATGGACCGTCGACAGTCCAACTCGGTCGCGCTCCTGGGAGTTTAAACCTACAAGGCATGAAGGGTCCTCGGGGCTGAACGGTGGGTTAGGCCATTGGTCATCACTACTGCACGGGAGTGGTACAAAGTTCCAGCAAAGTACATTGAAGAATGTACCAATGCAGCATCACCTGAAACGAGTCCCTCGATGTTTCAAACTCAAGAATCGAAATGGTGTTGTTGATTTGTTATCGCTAATTGGTGTTGGAGAGCAGGATCTCGCCAAAAAACGAATTTCATCCTAACAACAACCCGCAACTGCCAAAAGTTTCCAGGATAACTGAACTCTGAAATGGTATAGAACGCCGAGCTCATGTCGATTCCCATCTTGTGGAAACTCCATCTTTTTCTCTTCAGCTTTTCACAACAGAAATAAGAATTTGTTGGATCCAAACATTGTTGGCACAACCTATGACCAGCCTTGTAAGCATTGCCATGGTCCTCTGTACTCTGCAATTTGTCCTTGAATTCTGTTAGAGTACTAATCAAGGAAAGCAGTTTTCCTAGATCCATCAAAGGCAAGAGGTCTGAGGCTCTTAGAGGCCCTTTTGGTTCCCTGCTTCTGAAGAGTGGGTTAGAAACCCTTCCGTAAAAGAGGGCTCATGTTCTGTCATATGATCGATTAATGAGACATATGCTTCTGAAGTCTGCTCACCAGAATTTCTATTCCAGGGTACCACACTGCTGCTTGCCGAACGTTGCGCGCCCAATCTAGGTCCAAGCTACCATGGTAACGATACAATCGCCGATACTCGTTACAGAACCTTGTACGAAAACATCATTTTAGGACTACTAGATGAAATCAGTTAATCATGTCATGACTTATTGTTCTCGAAATAGCCCTAAAAAGTAAAAATGTAAAATATTCTTGGACGGATGCTTAAGGCCTGTTATGGGTTACTTTGGCATTTAAAATCCTACGTGATTCCAATGCTCAATACTGTACTTACAGTTACTCTTGTATCACTGATCACGTTTGCGACCGCCCCGACGGTCGTTTCACTATGGTGACGATACACTATGGTGACGTTACAGGTGGGAGTATCGTGCCGGCGGGGTCTTACAACGTATGACAATTACTTCGCAGTAGTAGGACCATCGATTGTTTGCCAGACCAAGAATAAATCTTGTCAACGTTGTATGACCCGCCGCGCACGAATGCGCGGCTTCCCCCCTGTAACGTCCCCATAGGGGAAACCACCCCCTGTAATCCACATAGTGATACGACCGTGGGGGTTCGCAACGTGATACAAAATAATTCTACTCAAAGTAATTCACAATCCTTCCTCTCCTCCACCAAGTCGTCCAGGGTATGGTTTGCTCCCAGTTCTCGTGAAATTCCGTCCAATGAGTACATAAGAGAAGTACGACAAACTCAAAGTCTATTCAGCGTCTCGGAGTACAATACTATATATAATAGATTGACATTTTAATAACCACCGCTTTTCAGATAACTATACTCAGGCAGTGTTTGAACTTTTATCCCCAAAATAAATAACTTGAGGATGCTAAAAAATAAAACCCGTGAAATAAAAAGTATAGCTTAAGCCGTTGTACATACTATTACATTCCTCCAGTACGTCCTGCGCGCGCGCCTGTAGAATTCAAACGTTGTCATAACGTTGTATGAACCCGCGCGCGCACGAAGTGCGCGTCCGCTGCCCCCTGTATCCCCCTGGATATCACCTAGTGAAACGACCGTGTGTCACAACGTGATACAATAAAAACGACGCGGCGTAGACTGGAACCATTACACTGTATAAGCTCCAGTGTAATGTAATATGTACTACGCCCCGGGCGTGACTGAGGAAATTTACACTTGTAATAAGCGCCATTGTAATGTAATTGTTCTACTGCTTATTATGAGAATAAGTTGTAACCGGAATTATTGGATACAGTATCCAGAAAAAGGGATGCAGATGAACAGAGAAGGAAGACGTGAACAATACCATGTGGTAAATCACGGGATGTAGTCACGTGTTAAAGAAGCCAACCGGGCAAAAATATGGAGAACCTAGAGTGTTACAAAATAATTATCTCTGCAATGCTGTACCGGAGAGAACGTACCGGTTAATCGAGACCAAGCACTCTGCACATATCGTAATTTAATATAACTAAACTGAAGAACCTGTCTCAACATAGTATTGTTGGTATGTGGTACTCTAATACAATCTAGAGCTATAAAACGTTGTAAGAGTTACCAGTTAGCGTTAGTATTTTATCTTTCCGCTAAGTCTACAATTCTGCTAACTAACAATTGAGTATGATCGTCAATTAAATGTTCATAGTCATAGATATTGAATATAGAGATCACATTCACACAATGAACAAGCATAGACAAGTGGGAAACAAACAAACGAGATAGATCAAGCTCGTAAAGGGTCGTTGTTCGAGATCGGAAATTTCAAAACTCTAGTTCGACAGGCGAAGTTCTCTTCGACTGTAGTGCGTGTCGAACATATTAAAGTACTAGTGTAACCCGGCCTACGGCCGGGATTTCACTGCCGCAGTTAAAAAGGGTAGGAGTAATTACCCGCTGAGTCAAAACCCGGATTAGGCGAGCAATTGTATTTGGGGTGCCCTCACGTATCCAATAGTATGCTTAAAAATAGTAATTCTTAATCAATAGAAATTAACCCTGCACCACACCAGCCTATCATATTTGAAAACATGCATTACATTGTCGTATGAAAGTATGAACTCTCTCTACAGTCCAAACAGACCGTTTGAGCACTTCCTCCCCTAATAAGTTTATAGTATCATATGACCATGTAATATATACGCCATGTAATATATACGCTACATATGCAGAGAGAGAGAGAGAGAGCTAGCCCCGTAACTCTTGCCGTTCTTCTCAAGCCATTTTATGTAACATATTTTGTGGTACAAAACCATCAATTAAACCACTTACCACCGGCCGATTTTTATAAAATTTGCTTATGGGCTTCATCAGAGTTTTGTCGACACTATACCGAAAAAACCAGTCCCGTAACTCTTACCATTTTTTTTGTATAACCGTTCGGAAATTACACACGAACACACGATCAGACACACATTCTGGTGTTATTAAGTTGATATTGTAGGTATATTAAAGTATATTAAAGTATATCCCCGGGTCAAAATCGGGAAAAATCCTACATTTAAATATACTTTAATATGGTTGGCCCCCCCGGCCCCCCCCCCCCCCCCCCCCCCCCCCCAAATGAGTCAAATTTGATTATTTTCACAAGTTTCTAAAATCAAATTACAATTTACAGGTTTAAGAAACATTTGTCACTGTCCTCCAAAGTCAACTTGGACTCGGCACCAAAGAAATGCAATCTAAATTCCTCAAAAAAAAGTACTCCTCAAAGTGTTTTCATCAAACGAAACATCCAGCAGGAATTAAAAGTACGTGTCCCCCACCTGTACCCTCTCCCCACTGATATGTTGGGAATGTTGTACCACGTGTTGGGAATGTTGTACCACGTGTTGGGAATGTTGTACCACGTGTTGGGAATGTTGTACCACGTGTTGGGAATGTTGTACCACGTGTTGGGAATGTTGTACCACGTGTTGGGAATGTTGTACCACGTGTTGGGAATGTTGTACCACGTGTTGCGAATGTTGTACCACGTGTTGAGAATGTTGTACCACGTGTTGGGAATGTTGTACCACGTGTTGAGAATGTTGCACCACGTGTTGAGAATTTTGCACCACGTATTTGGATTGTTGCACCACGTGTCAGGTTATCTAAATAGAAGAATGTACTAATCACATGTTTCCTTACAGGATAAAATTCTAGCTATGAAGATTGAAGCTAGAAAAGCTGCTGAACAGGAACGATTAGTTGACGAGGAGTTCAGGGTATGCTGTTTAATAGTCGGTGTTCTACTAATATTTTATTAATATCACATTCTGATTGAATCCTCTTTCTCGCCCTCTTTTTAGAAGCTCATTAAATGTTACACCTAACAGACGGAAGATTCGGAGTACACTGAGCTACAGAAGATGCTAGATAATGACGAGGAGGAAGAAATGTCCGAGAGTGACGAAGATCAGAAAGGTATGGTTTTGCCATTCATATTTTTGTGTTCTTTTGTATTTGTACGAGACAGTAGGAACTTGTGTGTCTCTGGCCATTTTCAGTGCACAGACGTTCTCTTAGGATCTTATCATCTCATGTCATGACGTTTACTCTTTAAATTGGTCACAGAAGAGGAAGAAATATTGGTAGAAGAGGTTGAGAATGTAGACGAAAAGATGGACAGAAGAGCAGAGAAGATCTTGTTAGGAGAGGAAGTCAGTTCTTCCTCCGGAGAAGATAACAAACAAGTTGAAGTTGAAAGAAAAGAGAGGAATTATCACACTGATACTGATAGCGACCTGGTAAGTCAGAAAAAAAGAAGAAAAAAAGAAATCAGACATATACCAGGACTCTTCTAAAACAGTTTGAACATTTCCTATTATATTTTATGACGTCATGTTTTTTAATTTTGTTACGTCAATGTCTTCCTCCCAGCTGGCGTCAGCTGATGAAGTCCACGTCAACGAGCTCCCTGCTACTTCCGCGAGTGAAGATGACGCTTTAGAACCCAGCAGATACTCTCTTAGGAGACTTACCAGGTTTAATATCTCGATATTTCATTTTGTTAAAAAATATGGTACTTTAAAAGAAAAAAGTAACCTTTGGTAGGGTGAAATCATGAAACGAGACGTATTTTTTAATACGTTGATCTTTGGGCGTCAAATTTGCTAATAAGGTTTTTAAGAATCTTTATTTAATATCATTGTCTCTTACTTAATGAAATTTAACGATTGTGAAATTGCCGATTTTTCTAGATATGTAAGGAAAAAGCGGCTTACCAAAAGAAGGAAAAAAGAAGAATTAGTGCCTAAAGAGAACTCTGCAAATAAAGAGCCGGATTCTGACGAAGATTCTCAATCAGTGGAGAAAATTGAGAAGGCGAAAAGAAAAATAGAATCGATTTTGGAGAAACGAAAGGAAATAAAACAGAAGAAAGATGCGATTAAAGTAAGATATTAATTAAAGTAGAAGTGTGACTTTTTTCAATTCATTATTTGGTTCATATACAAAAATTTTATTGACAAAATCTATCGTATTTTGTTAATAAATTCAAACTCTAATACCCATGATTTATTCATTGTTTATGTAATTGTTCATGAAATACGTTCCTATGATGTCAGCTATAAAATCTAAACGTGTTTTTGTACCAGGCAAAGAAGGCAAAACTGGAAAAAGAGAAACTAAAAATGGAAGAAATAAGAAAGAAAGCGGAGGAGGACGCAATTCTCGCAGAGGAACAACGGAAATCCTCATCTTCACAGGTTTTTTTACAGTTAATACACTACATCTGTTTCTCTAAATCAGATTTTAAGAGCGATGGAACAAAAATAAATCAATGATTTATTCATTTTGCGGAATGAATATCATACAAAATTTCCTTTAGATCAAAAAGACAGCATCCAAGCCGGCAACAGTCCGAAAACCATGGCTGTCCGACTCCGAGGACGAGGAATTGCCAGAGTTTGAAACTGAAGGAGATGGTCATAATACTCCGACTGCTGGCCAAGGGGCCAAACCTGAAATTCGTTCTAAACGGTATGTTTGATAAATCATTCAAAGTTCTTTCCCTTGGTCCGATGCAGCCACCGGATTTTTTTTGTAATTCTGTCCTGTCGAGTATTGAACAAGAATTGCGCCCGTTGTTTCGTTTTGGCGGACGCTAGATTTCCATTTCACATTTACTATAAATTTAAGTATAACTATAAGCTCCAATCAGCTCACTTCAATCTTCATGATAATAATATTGATCAATTATGCATCAAATACGGGAAACACTTGAAATTCAGTTCAATTGCCGTAGAACTTAACTTGTATCTGTAATTCAAGAAATTATCAGCAAAGGTAAACTATACTCGTGTACACATCAATACACTACGCTTGCCACGTACAAATTGGGTGTATTACCTAATAGTAATATTATACATTACTATACATGCATCATATACACAGTCGCGCCGCGCATTCATAGATCACAGGCTATCTATACATCACATCTCCTCAAGCAATCCTCGCGCGCGCCCAACTTTTTCGTTGCATGGTAACGAACGAACACACGACATATTTAAACCCACCTATCTCGTTCTCCAAAATCCACGTTTTTCTGCAAAAACCTCCATTCGTAACCTTTCACTATTGCCTTTTTTCAAAAGGGTGAAAAGGAAAAAATCCTACTCCCACGTCATGATGACGTCATGTTTTTAATCCAGAGACTGGGCGAACGACAGTATGCTAGAATTACGTGCTGCTCGAATATTAGCGGGCGAGGACCTGAGCAGTAGTTCAGAGGAAAGCGGTGAACCCCAGAGAAAATACCACTCCGACACTGACAGCGATTTGGTATGTAAGATAATGCATTAGATAATGTTAGATAATCTAATGTATTCATAATGTACAATGTACATGAAGGATGGCCAAAAGTCAGCGTACATACGTTGGAGCTTATTTCTTAGTCACTGACTTGTTATTATCACTCATTCGAATTTTCAAATTTTGGCGTTAGAATCCCTGAATAGAATGTGTATAAGACCCAACGTATGTGAACTGACTTTTGCCACTGATCTAAATATCATTTTGTACGATAATTATAATGTAAGATAATGTAAGATGTTAGATGATGCAAGATAATGCAAGATAATGCAAGATAATGTAAGATAATGCAAGATAATGACTTGTCTTCCTCCCAGCTAGCGTCAGCTGATGAAGTACACGTGAACGAGCTCCCTGCTACTTCCGCGAGTGAAGATGACGCTTTACAGCCTAGCAGATACTCTCTCAGGAGACTTACCAGGTTTAATATGCTAGAGTAGTATAGTACATGTAGTAGAGTACATGTAGTAGAGTACATGTAGTAGAGTACATGTAGTAGAGTACATGTAGTAGAGTACATGTAGTAGAGTACATGTAGTAGAGTACATGTGGTAGAGTACATGTGGTAGAGTACATGTAGTAGAGTACATGTAGTAGAGTACATGTAGTAGAGTACATGTAGTAGAGTACATGTAGTAGAGTACATGTAGGTAGAGTACATGTAGTAGAGTACATGTAGTAGAGTACATGTAGTAGAGTACATGTGGTAGAGTACATGTAGTAGAGTACATGTAGTAGAGTACATGTAGTAGAGTACATGTGGTAGAGTACATGTAGTAGAGTACATGTAGTAGAGTACATGTAGTAGAGTACATGTAGTAGAGTACATGTAGTAGAGTACATGTAGTAGAGTACATGTAGTAGAGTACATGTAGTAGAGTACATGTAGTAGAGTACATGTAGTAGAGTACATGTAGTAGAGTACATGTAGTAGAGTACATGTAGTAGAGTACATGTAGTAGAGTACATGTAGTAGAGTACATGTAGTAGAGTACATGTGGTAGAGTACATGTAGTAGAGTACATGTGGTAGAGTACATGTGGTAGAGTACATGTAGTAGAGTACATGTAGTAGAGTACATTTAGTAGAGTACATGTAGTAGAGTACATGTAGTAGAGTACATGTAGTAGAGTACATTTAGTAGAGTACATGTAGTAGAGTACATGTAGTAGAGTACATTTAGTAGAGTACATGTAGTAGAGTACATGTAGTAGAGTACATGTAGTAGAGTACATGTAGTAGAGTACATGTAGTAGAGTACATGTAGTAGAGTACATGTAGTAGAGTACATGTAGTAGAGTACATGTAGTAGAGTACATGTAGTAGAGTACATGTAGTAGAGTACATGTAGTAGAGTACATGCGGTAGAGTACATGTACTAGAGTACATGTAGTAGAGTACATGCGGTAGAGTACATGTGGTAGAGTACATGTGGTAGAGTACATGTGGTAGAGTACATGCGGTAGAGTACATGTGGTAGAGTACATGTAGTAGAGTACATGTAGTAGAGTACATGTAGTAGAGTACATGTACTAGAGTACATGTAGTAGAGTACATGTAGTAGAGTACATGTGGTAGAGTACATGTGGTAGAGTACATGTAGTAGAGTACATGTAGTAGAGTACATGTGGTAGAGTACATGTGGTAGAGTACATGTGGTAGAGTACATGTGGTAGAGTACATGTAGTAGAGTACATGTAGTAGAGTACATGTAGTAGAGTACATGTAGTAGAGTACATGTACTAGAGTACATGTGGTAGAGTACATGTAGTAGAGTACATGTGGTAGAGTACATGTGGTAGAGTACATGTAGTAGAGTACATGTAGTAGAGTACATGTAGTAGAGTACATGTAGTAGAGTACATGTAGTAGAGTACATGTAGTAGAGTACATGTAGTAGAGTACATGTAGTAGAGTACATGTAGTAGAGTACATGTAGTAGAGTACATGTAGTAGAGTACATGTAGTAGAGTACATGTAGTAGAGTACATGTAGTAGAGTACATGTAGTAGAGTACATGTAGTAGAGTACATGTAGTAGAGTACATGTAGTAGAGTACATGTAGTAGAGTACATGTAGTAGAGTACATGTAGTAGAGTACATGTAGTAGAGTACATGTAGTAGAGTACATGTAGTAGAGTACATGTAGTAGAGTACATGTAGTAGAGTACATGTAGTAGAGTACATTTAGTAGAGTACATGTAGTAGAGTACATGTAGTAGAGTACATGTAGTAGAGTACATGTAGTAGAGTACATGTAGTAGAGTACATGTAGTAGAGTACATGTAGTAGAGTACATGTAGTAGAGTACATGTAGTAGAGTACATGTAGTAGAGTACATGTAGTAGAGTACATGTAGTAGAGTACATGTAGTAGAGTACATGTAGTAGAGTACATGTAGTAGAGTACATGTAGTAGAGTACATGTAGTAGAGTACATGTAGTAGAGTACATGTAGTAGAGTACATGTAGTAGAGTACATGTAGTAGAGTACATGTAGTAGAGTACATGTAGTAGAGTACATGTAGTAGAGTACATGTAGTAGAGTACATGTAGTAGAGTACATGTAGTAGAGTACATGTAGTAGAGTACATGTAGTAGAGTACATTTAGTAGAGTACATGTAGTAGAGTACATGTACTAGAGTACATGTAGTAGAGTACATGTAGTAGAGTACATGTAGTAGAGTACATGTAGTAGAGTACATGTAGTAGAGTACATGTAGTAGAGTATATGTAGTAGAGTACATGTAGTAGAGTACATTTAGTAGAGTACATGTAGTAGAGTACATGTAGTAGAGTACATGTAGTAGAGTACATTATATCAGATTTCTCTACATTTTACTCGTCGTTATCCCAAAATCGTTCAAAGGTACTGTAGAAAGAAACGAATAGCAAGAGAAAAGAGGCATGTGCAACGGGTAGCAATCGGTTCTGAGTCGGAAAAGGAAGAGAAAGCGAGAAGAAAGTTGCAGGACATATTGAAGAGAAGGGAAGAAATCAAGAAGAAGATTTATCGGAAGAAAACCCAGAAAAGGGAGGATAGCTGTACGTTTATTTAAATTTAAATCGTTTACTCTGGTTTTATTGATAAATATTTCGTCACAAAGCATAGCTCATGATTTAAATAGTCTAGGAAGGGTATACTGTTAATAGTTTGTAGAACGTAGAACTGGTTTGAGTGCCCTTCACAGCTTGTTAAATATTCTCCTCATGTTAATTGCTGTATAAATTATACCCTAATTGCATAAATATATCCTAATTACAATCATAATTCATCACGTCACGTTCTCAGGTACTAGTATACAAGATTTGTTTGGAGGTAGCGGTGGCTTATCTCTAACTGGAATCAGTCGACCATCAGATAGTCAATCTCTCCCCAGTGCCTCCAGGTAAATGAGTTTTTTTGGAATGTTTTCTGAATCATAATGTTTCTCCAACGATTTGCTTTAACGCATTAGAGCAATGCAAGAGCGAGAAGCCATATGTTTCTCCCCCAGTTCACTTGCCACTTCACATCCACATAGATAATTTCGGCAACCCCCTTGGTCCTTCAGGGTTGCCCTACCCCAGAGGCAGGCAGAGTTGATAAATGGGTTAATTAACGGCATTTTTTCAGAGATTCAGTTCACATCTCGAGTACGATCATACCCGATAGTATGGACACGTTACCCATTAGCGAGAAAACCTTCGACGTTGATACCGCTGGTCAGAATATATTGTAATATTTTGTAAACTATTGTAAGATAATGTAAGATATTGTAAGATATTGTAAAATATTGTAAAATATTGTTAAATATTGTTAAATATTGTAAGATATTTTAAGATATTGTAAGATATTTTAAGATATTTTAAGATATTATAAGATATCGTAACACGTAATGATTAATACTCTCAGTCCGTAACGTAGTGGAGGACTCTCAATACTCTGGAAAGAGTTCCTCTAACTTTCTCCCTCCCGACGAGGACGCTGTTTTTCTGGACACTCAGGGAATGCTACGTAGTGGTCTTGATATCAGGTAAATTGTACAACGCTACTAATTTGTTGCATTTGTTGAGGCTTCGTCTTTTGGTAATGAAACTAGCACAAATTGGAGTGTGTAAAACTAAACAAGCGGTTTAAATATGATCTCAATTTAAATGCTTGTTTTCTGCACGGTGTAATCTAGCAGCAACTGCAGACATCACGGTTTTTTCTGGTAACATGAGTCGGACAAGAGTCGCTGTCGGACAGGAGTTGCTGTCGGACAGGAGTCGCTGTCGGACAGGAGTCGCTGTCGGACAGGAGTCGCTGTCGGACAGGAGTTGCTGTCGGACAGGAGTCGCTGTCGGACAGGAGTCGCTGTCGGACAGGAGTTGCTGTCGGACAGTAGTCGCTGTCTAACAGGAGTCGCTGTCGGACAGGAGTTGCTGTCGGACAGGAGTTGCTGTCGGACAGGAGTTGCTGTCGGACAGTAGTCGCTGTCTAACAGGAGTCGCTGTCTAACAGGAGTCGCTGTCGGACAGGAGTCGCTGTCGGACAGGAGTTGCTGTCGGACAGGAGTCGCTGTCGGACAGGAGTCGCTGTCGGACAGGAGTTGCTGTCGGACAGTAGTCGCTGTCTAACAGGAGTCGCTGTCGGACAGGAGTTGCTGTCGGACAGGAGTCGCTGTCGGACAGGAGTTGCTGTCGGACAAGAGTCGCTGTCGGACAGGAGTCGCTGTCGGACAGGAGTTGCTGTCGGACAGGAGTTGCTGTCGGACAGGAGTTGCTGTCGGACAGTAGTCGCTGTCTAACAGGAGTCGCTGTCTAACAGGAGTCGCTGTCGGACAGGAGTCGCTGTCGGACAGGAGTTGCTGTCGGACAGGAGTCGCTGTCGGACAGGAGTCGCTGTCGGACAGGAGTTGCTGTCGGACAGTAGTCGCTGTCTAACAGGAGTCGCTGTCGGACAGGAGTTGCTGTCGGACAGGAGTCGCTGTCGGACAGGAGTTGCTGTCGGACAAGAGTCGCTGTCGGACAGGAGTCGCTGTCGGACAGGAGTTGCTGTCGGACAGGAGTCGCTGTCGGACAGGAGTCGCTGTCGGACAGGAGTTGCTGTCGGACAGTAGTCGCTGTCTAACAGGAGTCGCTGTCGGACAGGAGTCGCTGTCGGACAGGAGTTGCTGTCGGACAGTAGTCGCTGTCTAACAGGAGTCGCTGTCGGACAGGAGTTGCTGTCGGACAGGAGTCGCTGTCGGACAGGAGTTGCTGTCGGACAGGAGTCGCTGTCGGACAGGAGTCGCTGTTGGACAGGAGTCGCTGTCGGACAGGAGTTGCTGTCGGACAGGAGTCGCTGTCGGACAGGAGTTGCTGTCGGACAGTAGTCGCTGTCTAACAGGAGTCGCTGTCGGACAGGAGTTGCTGTCGGACAGGAGTCGCTGTTGGACAAGAGTTGCTGTCGGACAGGAGTTGCTGTCAGACAGGAGTCGCCGTCGGACAGGAGTTATCACCCTGAATATATCACACGTTGACACGGTGTATAACTACAACCTTTGCCCCTCAGTGGTGAAGGAGGAATAGACGCTCTCGCTGGAGACGGTTCCCTGCTCGACAATTCCATGGACCTGCTAAATCTCTGTTCAGGACGCTTTGGGTCGTCAGCTGCGGATAGTGGAGGTTTTGGGGGCACGGCCCCCGATAGTGGAGGTTCGGGGGGCACGGCCCCCGATAGTGGAGGTTTTGGGGGCAGGGTTACAGTTCAGGATATCAGTTTTAACCTGGCTACTTCTCCCAGCCTAGTTGGTTGGTCATTATTTATAAGTTATCATTTTGTAGCTCACTGAGGATTGTTTCCATTCAAACTACTTAACTAGAATTGTAAGTTTCTTCTAATTCTCCCTCTTTTTAATCTGCTTTTGAGACCATTTACCACATTTCCAAACTTACACGCACATCTCCGCAGGATCTGGACTATCCCAAACACCAAACCATTCCAGAACACCCTCTTATAAAAACCGGACACCACTTCCAAACGGTGACCCGGAACAAACTACACTTTTTAAGGGCGGCACGGATCAGACACCTCTGAGAAAGGGGCTGTCTCAGACACCTCTGACCAGGTTTGGTAACCTTGCAGGGTTACTGAGTCAAGAGAGTGATGAAGAGGAGGAACATGTCTCTAGTAAAGCCAAAGGTATGTTAATTCCTTGATGAGATGGTTATTTCGTCACGTGATTCATTATCATTTGTATTGATCTGGTTACTGGCGGGGAGGTATTGTTATACCTCATATTTGTTTTGACGACGACGTTTGGGTTTCAATGGGTTATTACTCGAAGCTGATTGTTTATTCGCTGTCACCGGTGACTACCACATGTATGTACTATGTATCACGTGATGGATCGTGTGATGCTACATTTGTGTGCCTTGAGCTGATCACATGTTCAGATCACATCGTAGGTTAATTTTCATTTTTCTGGATCATCCACTTCAAATTTAACACGTGACACACCACAGGAAAGAAACGTCGAGCACTGTATTCTGACTTACTTGACAATGAAGCTGAAAAGAGTGGTTCAGATCACAGTGATGATGAAAACGAAGGTACCATTGATTTTAAAGTTTATTTGACAAATTTTACTGAAACTGTTGCTTGTCTATATCTGAAATAGATACGTTTGCTTGCCGTGTCTATAGGGGTAATATTACAGAATCAGATGAGGGGGCCGGGGGGGGGTTGGGGGGTTTCCAAATGATTACGCTAGTGTAATTTTGACACAATAGCTATGTGTAAAACTGATTACGGAGGGGGGCGGGGGGGGGGGGGTAAAAATGTTTCAAAAACTGATTACGTAATATTTGAACGACCATTATATATTTTATATGAACAACAAACTTTCCTTCAGAGGACCATGATGAGTATGACAAGAGTATGATGGCGAAGGACTCGGAACTGCCCTCGGACGAGGAAGAATTAGCCGCCCAGCTGAAACTAGCCTACCATGACCAGCAGGCGTTAGATGAGAAGGCGCAGATTAAACGGCTCAAGGAGAGATTCATTCAGGTTCTGGTCTTATTCCAACTTCAAATTGTGTTTAGATGGTCATTACTCGTGCCAGCTGGAGGTTTTATTTCATTAATCGTGCTGGGTTGTTTCAATGGATGGTTACCGTAATATGTGCCACATGCTTAGCATGAAATATTTACTATACTTACTTGCACTTGTGTAGGTTTGTAGAAGCATTAGTATCGGGCGTTGCCTGCTACAGGCTATCCCGAAACTAGAAGCTTGCTTTAATAATAATAATTATGCCGGGTATGTTGAGTGAACACCCTCGATCTTATGTCAGAGAGGCACGGAGATAATTTATTTATGTTGCAGGAGGAGCAAGGATTTTTTAGGACTCGTAAATTCCACGGCGAAGATTCCAACATGGATTTATTTTCAACAAACCTTGGACTCGACTTCGAGGACGATAATGGTACTTAAACTTAAAGCCAGTTTTTTCATTCTTAACATTCTTACAAAGTTGATTTTATGTGCCACAAATCATGGGGACCCAGATTATTATGGTTTATTTTACATGATATTTTAGTGGAGACGAGTGCTGAAACATATAAGGAGGCTATGGAAAAGCGAACTGAACGGTTAAAAAGGGAGCAGTTTGTTAAAGAAAAGCGCATAAAAGAGGTAACTATCGCCATAATTTCTCACTTTCCTCCAACTTTATCTACCAATCACAATTCTCATTTTTCCCAGCTTCAACAAAATTTATCAGTTTCCTCAGCTTTACCCACAATTCTCAGTTTTCCACCGCACCAGCGTCACCCACATTTCTCCCTAATTCACCCACATAATTTCCTGACCAGGCTAGCAAAATGAACAGGGTTGATGAGGACAGTCAAGCGTTTCTCGACACCCTCCAAGACATCACCGACTCAAATTCCAGATCTGCTTTTTCCTCGAGTCAGGTGTGTGAAAATATGATTAACTAGAACATAACAAACAAAATTATATTCATATTAGAAACTTCCAACACATTAATAGAAACTTTCAACACAAAAATATCACTAATTAAATGTATTATGACACCAACTTCTCCCCTTCAGCAATGCGGTAGTTTCCTCAAGCACACAACCGGGACTCTGTCCCGACTATCCAGCGTTACCTCGTCCTCCCTGAATTCCGATAAAACCAGCAACCGGGCGTACGTGTTTCAGACTGTTAGTCCGGGGCAGACCAAGAGGAAGAGCAGTGGCAAGGTAATTCAAATATTTCACTGATAGGCGATAATTAGGTCTGGTCAGTGGAAATTTAGTGAATTTGTTTACGTAAAAGTTGATGACTGCCTTTCTCATATTGATATTCGACAACTTACTACCCTCTTTCAGTTTGCAAGTGAGCCGAAACGTCCCAAAAAATTCACGAGTTCTGGTGTGCCAGCCAGCCCTTCAGCAGACAGCAGTAAACTTAAGAGTATCTTCAATGTTATCAAATGAATTACGTCATCAAACTAATTATGTAATCAAACTAATTACGTAATCAAACTAATTACGTCATCAAGTGAGAGTTTTAATCTTGACACACAGCGGCATTCGAATTGCAAATGGATCAAGACAGTTTTTACATCAGAAAATGGGAGTTTTGTTGCACTTGAAGCAGAAGAGGGTCGCTCACATAAGACGTCAGCTGCAGCCTAGAAGGAGCGGGGTTCGGACAATTTTACGCTAATGTAATTTCTACATAATGAAAATGTCTACGTCATAAAAAAGGTTGCAGAGAAACGAGAGTGCTCTTAAATGGCCAATCTATGGCCTACGTAAACAATCTTTTAGATTGTTTTCCTTCATATTGGAACATTTTATGACTGTTATTCGAGCCTTTTTCATAGTTTTGTTTGTATATCAGATTAACCTGATTAAGTAGTCGCAAATTTCTGTGTTTGATACCGAATACCGATTACCGATAGACATTTTCCACTCTGATGTACGACAATGTCAATGGACAACCACGATCAGTGTCAGTAAAATGGTACGGATCCATATATATCGTCTCGCTTTATATATAGTATGATATGACTATGTCAATCGAGCAAATTGGAATATAACTTTATGAGCAGAGTTGAAAGTTTTAATTTTATGCGCAATGACACACAGGGTTAAAATGCTCCCCTGACGAGATATTGGCGAAAAACTGTCTCGATCACGTGATATGACCGTATAAAGAAGTTAGTATAATTTCTCGTTAGGGTAAGGGTTAGAGCTTATGCTTTTGTTGAGGATTGGGTTAGGGTTAGGGTTGGGATCAGATTAGAGGGTTAGGGTTTCGAATAGTCGCTAAGGACCAGCTAGAGAACGGGTTGAAAAATTAGTCACGTGACAGTCGAGTGTAGAGTGATTAATCATCATCCAGAAAAACTCTGTAGTATGTTTTGGTATAACTATAAGAGTAATAAAGTTTGTACACTAAAAGTAAAACGTAGAAGTATAAATTAACGTTATTTAAAATAATAGAATTTCAATTAGTCCTTCAAAAAATATTAATAATATGCAGTAAACTAAAAATAGTTGTATTATGAAGTTAGAGTGAAATTTCTATTAGCTGAAATCATTCAGTTATTGTTAAGTCGAAGAATAATAACTTCAACATACCGATATAATGTGCTACAAACAATTGTATATCTTCATATATATATACTAGTGTAACCCGTGCCTTCGGCCGGGACTTTACTGTCACAGTTGCAATGTAAAAGTATACAACCGCATTATATATTTGATATCACGCATAACGCTGTCTTATGAAAGTATGAAATCTCCCTACAGTTGAAACAAAGCGGCCGCAAGAGTGAGCTCTAAGCTTTATATAGTATAACGTGGGGCTAAACTAATTACGGTACATGTTATCCTCCTCGTTCTCTCTCCCATCCATTTATGTCACATTTCTGGAACAAAATCATCAATTAAACCACTTACCACCGGCCGATTTTTATAAAATTAGCTTATGGGCTTCGTCAGAGTTTTGTCAGCACTATACCGAAAAAACCAGTCCCATAACTATTACCGTTTTTTTTGTATAACCGTTCGGAAATTACAGACACACACACAGACACACACACATTCTGGTGTTATTAAGTTGATGAACTCTTAGTAATAATTAAATTAGAGCCAGACTATCATTTCGTTATTTTATGAATCTAGCAGAAATTGGTATCTAATAAATGTTTTGACTGGCGAGTGGCGACTATGTTTTCTCTTCACACTTCAATCAAAATTCGCGCACAATCGTCTTCAGTCTCAAGTCTTGGATTGACAATAACATTGTTATTAAACTTTCGTCAAATCATTTTGAAGTTTGCCCATGAAGATCTTCTGTTGTGAGATTCAAGTTCACTTTTTTTGGTCTTTGAGTTTGCCAAGCAATGCAGATAGAGCACAGGATTTTGGTGAAACGAACGACTCATCATATCAGGGATCCCGATCCTGTAAAACAGTTAATCATAATGAGTACATACAGTTAATGGAATTGTAAATTTCTAAATATTTAATCCTGATTTTTAACAGAAAATTATAGTTATACACTAGAAAATCACTGCACTTTCCTTAACTGTATAACTTTGTCATACGTTGTATGACCCGCCGCGCACGAGTGCGCGGCTCCCCCTGTATCGTCACCATATAGTGAAACGACCGTGGGGGTCGCAACGTGATACAAGTGGCGCGAAAGCACATGGTCATGGTTAGATCAATGTGCGGAAAGTTATAGTTATAAGAACAGCTGCATTTTATATGCTACTGGTAAGGTAAAAGTAACTTCCTTACCGCTCTTTTTTCGTGACAGTCGGAGCAGAGCCCACATTTTAGCCAAAACACCATTTCACTGCACCGAGTGCAGGATCTCTTCTCTGAGTATACCTCAAACTGTAACAGTAACAGTATCAAACATGTGTTTATTATAGTGTTACTAGAGCAAAAAGCAAAAAAGCACGATTTTAACATAAGTACGTAGTAATCTAAGTCTAGTTAAGTATTTCAAACGCTAATTAGCGCTAACTAGCGTTAGCCATCACGTTTTAAGATTGTCGCAGAATAATCCCTTTTTGTAGCACTCAACGTCTTGGACCGTCACTAGTATGTGTATTAATAGCTCATTCGTGTAGGTAGGTAATATAACACCGGCCGGAGTGATCTACTGATCTAATAAAATGTCACGTTACACATCACGTTACCTTACCTGCTGACATTAAACTCGGTATTCTGAGCTTTCTCGGACGGGTCACGTGAAGTGCACGTGACGCATTATATCAAGTTCCTTTACTCTACATACCTGCAATCTACATCAGAATGGTTCGTTGGTCCGTTGCAGCACGTTGTGACTGCATTTCTTATTCTCGATCTCGTGTCTTTGTAACTGTAAGCTTACACTAAACCTGGCCTGCGATAAGTTAGCTTGTTTTAATCGACGCATCTTTGTTGACGAGACATTTATAACTTCTTGGCAGGTACGTGGAAAATGTATTGTAAAGAGGTTTTCTCAAGTTATAAAACTCAACCACATTCTGGCCTAGTTCAAATCATGAAATATTTATTAGAAGCGGGGTAGTAAGTAATGTGTTTCGTTTTGTTTCGTGTAACTTACTACATAATGTAAATATTATACCAATGCAGATTTTAAACTACAGATTAAATCATAACACTAAACCTATGGAAGGCCGTCATAACTTCAAATACATCCGGTTATTGATTGTAAATGTTTTCAGTGACTGAATTTTAAGAAAATTTGAAAGACGATATTGAGAAGAAAACTATTTCCTAATTCCTCTTGTGAAGACTGTATCCTACTCCAAGTTTTCAGGTTTGTGCATGTTATACAGTATTCAGACAACTCAATCGCTCTCCTACAATTGGTTCTTTATCAGCCACGTAGCTAGCAATGAGGCGGGGAAGGCGAAGCCTCCCCTGGCGATAGCCTTGCCTGCCATGAAATGTTTTTCACAAAGCTTACTTATGTATTTTAAGGCTATGTATGTGCCCAGAATGCCGGATAATGTGGCAAAATACTTCAATTTTATCAAACATTTTCCCGAGGCTCCGTCCCCTAGCTGTGATCCGTCGGGACTCGGCTGCCTTGGCAGATAATCTTGATATATGCCAAGGCAGGGCTGTTGAGCTGTTCTTCATGACGACAATATTAGCTTATTACTTAGTTAATATCAGTTAATTAATTCCTCGATTTATTCGAAGGACATCAAAATTAGTACTATTTTATAATTCGCAGCTCCAGCACGATATTTTAAGCTGTAAGATAAAGGTGATAGTTTGTCTGGAAACCTTTTCACCCTGTATTTGGCTGGCGCACTTTACCACCTTCGTGCCTTTATGTCTTATCTAAGACCCAACCCTCCGTTTGCTGAAAACCTGCTACCTCTTGAGTGGGAGTACGCAGACGACGCAGACTTCACAGACGAGGATAAAAAGAATTAGGAGTCCATGTTACCAATATGCAAGGAGATATTGGAGGAGTGGAATCTTTTTGTCAACGAATCAAAAACAGAGTTCACACATATCTATCTGGCCGAGAAGAACGAAGTTGATGACAAAGGAGAGCCACTTCGAGGAAGAGAGCCCTGGAGATCATCTATCTCACTTGGTTCCAAATTGTGCAGCAACGAGGACATAAAAAGACGATGTATTCTGGCAAATCTTGCTTTCCAAACCTACAAGAAAGTTTGGGAACAAGGTAAACGCATACCTCTTAAGACCAGACTTAAGATCTACGAAGCCCAGGTGGTCTCCGTCTTAATGTATAATTGTAGCTGCTGGGCAGCTTCAAAGCAGCTACTGAGTAAACTGGATATCTGCCACAGAAAGCATCTGAGGCAAATCATCAGAATGACTTACCCTAATATAATCAAAAACGACACCCTTTACAAGAGATGTGAGGTGGTTCCACTCAGTGAGCGTGTTGCATGTGCACGATGGAGGATGCTCGGACATGTCCTTCGCAGTGATAACAACTCACCTGCACAGCTTGCATTACACTTTGCAGTAGAGAGTCAGAGTACTAAAAAGGGTAGAGTAGGTAGACACCAGTCGAACTTGCTTAAGACTATTAAATTTGATTTAGGTAGCAGGAACATTCCATTTGTAAATACAGACGATTTGTACAATTTAAGACTTTTAGCCTCTGATAGAGCGGGATGGAAGAAGTTGTTATAGCTTGTGTATCAGTTTTTCTTTTTTTCTGGCTACTTATCAGATCTTTAAGATGTTCATTTATGTTCTATTTTTGATTTGAATAAAGTTATATAATAATAAAGATAAAGAAACTCACGCGGAGTATATCAAATTTCAGTGATAAGAAGTACAGGATCAAAACAACTTATTCGAGCAACTACTTCCTAGCTGTCATCTATCTTGTGAAGACTCTCCTACCCGGCCCAGGTTATTGCAGGTTTGTGAATGTTTTATAGGATTTAGACAACTCAATCTTCATTCTATATAAGTTTTTGATTGATCAATTTGTTGATTAATTTGAGGGAAATCTAAATGGGTACTATTTGATAATACGACAGCTCCAGCACGCTATTTTTAAGCTGTAAGATAAAGAAACTCACGCGGAGTATATCAAATTTCAGTGATAAGAAGTACAGGATCAAAACAACTTATTCGAGCAACTACTTCCTAGCTGTCATCTATCTTGTGAAGACTCTCCTACCCGGCCCAGGTTATTGCAGGTTTGTGAATGTTTTATAAATATAGGATTTAGACAACTCAATCTTCTTTCTATATAAGTTTTTGATTGATCAATTTGTTGATTAATTTGAGGGAAATCTAAATGGGTACTATTTGATAATACGACAGCTCCAGCACGCTATTTTTAAGCTGTAAGATAAAGAAACTCACGCGGAGTATATCAAATTTCAGTGATAAGAAGTACAGGATCAAAACAACTTATTCGAGTAATTACTTCCTAGCTGTCATCTATTTTGTGAAGACTATATATCCTACCCTAGGTTATCAGGTTTGTGAACGTTTTATTCATAGATTCAGACGACATAATCTTCCTTCCATGATCAATCATTATTAATTAGCAATTATAGATACTAAATTTCGGATAACTAATTGCGATTCAATTACCAATTACGGCACAGCTAATGTTACATTATTATAATGTTATAACACTCTACTACTATAACAAGTACAGCTGCCATGAATGCGCCGCTTTAAAAGTATAAACATAAGAAAGTAACATGGAGTATATTTCAGGTTTCAGTTCAAAGAAATAGCGGATCAAACCAACTCATATTCCATCTTAACAGTCTCTAAATCTTATAGCTCTGAACATCAGGTACCAAAATAGAATGATTCATTTGCATAATTTTAATGACTGTTCAGGTAGAAAATAAATATCATTGAACCCAATGGTAAATTTATGATGAATCATAAAAGTATACTAGTCTGAGCAAAAATGATATGGAGTGTGGACTAAGGATTTTCAGATCTGAGAAGGCTATACTATAACCGGGAAGCATTTAATCTAAAATCAACACAGAAATTGGGTACAATCCGACCGGCTATTAAGGGGGGGGGGGGGTTCACCCTGATTTTTTTGTGAAACTTGGTTTCGAGATAGCAGTTGACCAACAAACTAGGACCGGTGACCGAACTTTTGAGGGGGTCCCGGACCCCAACCGCCAAACGGTGCCCGCGGGGCAGCCACGCCCATATTTGGTCCAAATTAGGCCCAATTTAGCTAAATACCCTGAACATGCCCAACAACCAGAATTGAGGTGCTTTACTTGTAGCTAGTGGTCCCTTGAACTTGTATATGAATTTTCATCAAGATTGGACAAAAAATGACCGAGTTATGAGCCAAAAACCATATGACCATATTTGGGCATACGCACAAAATTTGATCGATTTTGGCCCATAAATTGGTCAAATATCAATATTTTTGAATGAAACCAACTTTATATGGAAGGTAAGCCTATACTACACATTCTCTATGATTATCAACTCAGTATCTAACTAACTGTGGATTCTGTGTTCAAATAATCGCAAAAAATGAACAAAATCGCCCATATCTCAGTTCGCGATATTTGCAAAACTGATTTCGTTCAAAACAATAGAACTCAATAGGGTTTCAATATTTTTATATGAAATTTTCAGAATCAACGTAGAATCGGGGGGGGGGGGGGGGGGGGGGTTCAAGGGGAACTTTGGGGAACTTTGGGAAAGTCCCCCAAGATTTCTGAAGTTCCCCAAAAAAAAGTTCCCCAAAACTCCCCAAAGTTACCCAAAATTCCCCAAAATTATTAAAAATTATTAAAAATTATTCAAAATTATTCAAAATTTCTCTAATATACATTAATACCCATTAATGTTAACATGTATGTTATTATAAGGTATAATCTTAACTTACTTGTTGATACTTGCAGCATGATAATTTGTTTGGCATTATAATTTTTTTGGGGAACTTTGGGGAATTTTGGGGAACTTTCTGAAGTTCCCCAAAAAAAAGTTCCCCAAAATTCCCCAAAATTATTTGTTTCATTGATAATTTTTTGGGGAACTTTGGGAAAGTCCCCCAGGTTTCCTGAAGTTCCCCAAAAAAAGTTCCCCAAAGTTCCCCTTGGACCCCCCCCCAGAATCGCATTTCGACCTTAAGTTTTAATATGGAATTTTGAGTTAGGCCTTTAAAAAAATTTGGCGGCCAAATTCTGAAATTTGCCGGGCATTTTTCTTTTTTTGCGATTAATTGAACACAGAATCCACAGTTAGGTAGATACTGAGCTGATAATCATAGAGAATGTGTAGTATAGGCTTACCTTCCATATAAAGTTGGTTTCATTCAAAAATATTGATATTTGACCAATTTATGGGCCTAAATCGACCAAATTTGGTGCGTATGCCCAAATATGGGCATATGGTTTTTGGCTCATAACTCAGTCATTTTTTGTCCAATCTTGATGAAAATTCATATACGAGTTCAGGGGACCACTAGCTACAAGTAAAGCACCTAAAATCTGGGTTTTGGGCATGTTCAGGGTATTTGGCTAAATTGGGCCTAATTTGGACCAAATATGGGCGTGGCTGCCCCGCGGGCACCGTTTGGCGGTTGGGGGTCCGGGACCCCCTCAAAAGTTTGGTCACCGGTCCTAGTTTGTTGGTCAACTGCTATCTCGAAACCAAGTTTCACAAAAAAATCAGGGTGAACCCCCCCCCCCCCCCCCCCCCCCCCCTTAACTTGATTCATGAATGTTATGTAATTTTTGTAATATATAGAGATAAAATGGGCATCTAGATTCTACATGTAGAACTAGAAGCGCCACAATTTTTGGGAAAAAGGGGTTACAAATGACTTAATTGCTTTGGAGCATAATACATATTATCATTAATTTTTGGAATCAACACACTGCTTTATACAAGAAAATCGTCTCTTTTCAACAAAGTAATAAACTCTTATTATTTGACGCTTCTCATGATATATTATAATTCGAAAATATCTGGCTTTTGACGCAACAGTTACAAATTTAAATAAATACTGTTTTATAGGCCAATAAGGAAGCACACCACTGAAACAAACCTCGGACCCTCTATTCAATACAAGGCACTAAACGACCACTGAACAAGTAAGTCATTTTAGAAATTAACTGAAATTTGATAATTATAATAATAATTATAATAACTAGAAATTTATACATCGCTTTAAAAGAGCTCAAAATTCAAAGATTCAGTTCAAGCCATCTAAAGCGACTCATGATTAACATATACATAAGAACTTAAAATTTATGAAGTATGGTTTTTACGAGAAAGATATTATATGAATACTTCATATGAATACTTATATGAATATGTGATAGTATAAGAACCTATATTAATCCATGACACAGGCTGCAACTCCTATTTTGATCGCGCGCGACCGGCTTTGCGTGCACCTGCACGAGAGGTGTGCAACGTGTAGCAAATTAATCCTGGAATCTTCGATATCTTAATCTGTATAAATCCCTGTTACAGCTGATTTCATTTCAGATATATCAATTGATCAACAATGGATAAATATTTGGTAGATGGAAAACAAATATACGAAGAATACTGCTCAACGGCTGAAAACCTGCCCACAATGCTTCCAAGAGCACCAGAGCAGACCTACATTGATGTATATCCAGATAAAGATCAGAACGGTCCCAGCTTTACAGATGACAGACGACATCAATTAGACTACGAGACTGAAGTTAAGGTGTATAGGGCTTTGGAAGAGGTAGATGGAAACTTCATTGTTCTTCACAGTTTCAAATACACGCATCATCAATATCGTTTGTGTGCAGGTAAAAGTCATATCCGAAAAGGATGTTCTAATTGTAAAGGCAAAAATGCAGAAAATCAAGAGGGGGAAAGTGACTTTCTCATCATTTGTGCGAACAGTTTCATTATCATCGAGGTAAAGAACATGGATAATGTTGGAGAGGTTTTGGAATGTGAACCAGACTTCCACCTGTGTTCAATTGGCGAGGACTGGCAACCTCAGTGTAACAGAGACCAGCAGTTGAAAGCATTAATTGGAACGTTCCAGAAATCAGTCAAACAAAGAAACAAGATTGTGGAACTGATCGAGTGTATGGATAAGGATGCAAAAATTCTTCAGTTTACTGCCTATCCTAATTTTAGTAAACAGTTTAAAGATGAGTTTCAATTTAGTGAGATTACAGAACTCCGGTTAAGTGATGATGAACTGTCAACTATCATATTTGAAGAGGACCTTTGTCGCAACGAACTTGATGCTGCTTGGTGGGCAGCAAATGTAACTCTGGCCAATTATTCATCTTCAGATTCCCACGAGAGAGTAAGGAACATTTTGTTAGCTATTTGGGCCACAGAGAGAAACACGTGTGATAAATCCAAGTGCAGTTTAGGACGATGTATTATGGATGTCAACAAACAACTTAAGGAAGGTCGCATTACTTTTGAGCCTAAAAAAGGTAAAAAACGTAATCAAAATCCCGCAGTTGTCAAAGCTCCCGATGTTATCAGAAACAATTCTAATGTGGAAAACCTAACAGTAGAACAACACAATGCTTTTGAGTCAAAAGAGAATTTGTTGTTGATTAACGGACCCGCAGGGGCGGGCAAAACTGTCATATTATGTGGTAAAATACTGCAACTGATACAATCTGATAAGGACAATAAAGTTGTGGTATTTAAGTTTACTGGAGAAGGGAACAATTCACAGCATTATCAAAGTGCGTTAGATAACGCTAGTATAAAATACAAACTGATAAGCACTAGTAGATCTAAACACACTCCCACACAACTAGCTAATCTTATAACAGAGTGTTTGTGTAGTGTTATTATTGTGGAGATAACAGGTTATGCAGGTACCACATATTTAACAGATATACTCAGTGTACTAAGTGGTTATAATTTGTTTGTTGATGATATACAGGCAGTTATTAGATATAATACCACAGCTGAAGAGTGGGCTTTATTGATTAACACCTTAAAAGACTTATCAGCAGATAAGATTGTGTGGATAGCATGTGATATTGTCCAGGTTTGGGCGCTATCAGACATAGATCAGATTTCAATAGTAGCTAATCTACTTACTGATATATTAGCACCTCATCAGAGGACTACTTTATCTAGTAATTTGAGAAATACGTTTGATTTATCGAATATTTTATCTGTAATCAGAGATCAATTCGTTAAATTATGTTCTCTTAAATCAGATATTTTAGATATTATTTTACCTTCACAATCAACAGGACACTTTATACACGGTACATTGCCTGTTATACATGTTTTTAATAATCGTAATGTTGATAGTATTGTAAGTGTTATTAATATTGATTTAGATAGATTGTGTGCTACACATGAATTAGATTATTCTGATATAGGTATAGTATATAATGATTACACTGAGGATGTAGTATCACTAGTTGAGGACAGTGTTAATATGAGGTGTAAGAACACTGCTAGTAAGATTGCTATGTGTAACAGTATTGGTTGTGCCTCTTGTGAGTGGCCTGCTGTAATAGTACTGTGTAATGTGTTGGGTGTTAGTGAGGAGGGTGACCTGGCTAACCTTTACTTATCGTTATCAAGAGCACGTGTACACTGCTCTGTTTTTATGTACCCATGGGAGGGTATAACATTAAACCGATATCCTTACATGTTACATTTGTTAGATAAACTGAGTAACTACGCTCGCATTATACGATATTAGATATGATGTTACTGTGTAATAACGTTAGTGGGTGACTAGTTCTATTGTTATGAAACATGTATACATAAGCCTTTAGTCTAGTTTAGAATTAGTGTGTGATTGCACAGCTGAGTGAACTTTTACGAACTAATTGCCGATTTTTGAAAACTTTTGACCAAGCCGGGACTCGATCTCGCTACGTCCGGGCTAGACAGACAGATAAGGAGCTGATAAGGCTTATGCTTAACCGATTGCGCCACTGTGCTGATAACAATACAAACATATTAAGCTAGCAATTGAGCGTCATTTTGCAAATAATTTCACCCACTAACCAAACTTAACTATTCGTTATTAAATTGTAGTTATTAATATAATGCTAATTACTATGAAATTACTGACCACTATAGAATGTGTTATCATTCATTTTATCTGTCTTTCAGTGAAATAAAAGTGTTTTAAATCATAAAGTTTCGTATAATTTAGGGTTGACCAGATTTAGCATAATGTCTAGGTTGAGGTCTAAACAACCTAGTCGGAAAACAAAAAATCTTACCTTTACATATGAATGACTAATAAAGAAAATGACGAATGACGAGACGCATAACTGCCAAATTAATTTGATAAATGTAAAGTACAAAAACAGAATTAAATATCAATTCTACACGACAATCTATGATAAACACTTCGTGAATTTGCTGAAAATTGTGAAGTCGTTAGATTTAGAAGCCTAAGCTAAACTTTAGCAGCAAAATCAGAAAATATAAGCTAATAATTATAACCGTAAGTGTAAGCTCTCCGACAAAATGATGAAATCATTACTGTAATTTAGTAACGGTCAACTGATAAAAAAGAACTGAGCACACGGACCATATTATCAGGAAACACTCTGTCCGCAGAGTTTACTCGCCAGCGGATTGACCAATCACACCACATAGAGCTCCCTATTAGTGGAGAGAGACCACGTGACTGTAGACGCGACCTCGTATTGGTCAAACCAGTAAAACACATACGACTACGAGCAGTTCCCGCCTTTTATCTCTATTTTCTATCCGCTAATCTTTCAAAATTTACATCTATTGTTCATATTAGAATTCTGGGTAATCTTTATTTTCTCAAAGTCGGTTATTATCTTGGAGCCAAAGAACATGATAGATTACAGCTTTCATTTAGATAGATAGAGAGAGAGAGAGAGAGAGAGAGAGAGAGAGAGAGAGAGAGAGAGAGAGAGAGAGAGAGAGAGAGAGAGAGAGAGAGAGAGAGAGAGAGAGAGAGAGAGAGAGAGAGAGAGAGAGAGAGAGAGAGAGAGAGAGAGAGAGAGAGAGAGAGAGAGAGAGAGCTACAGAGAGCGAGAGAGAGAGAGAGAGAGAGAGAGAGAGAGAGAGAGAGAGAGAGAGAGAGAGAGAGAGAGAGAGAGAGAGAGAGAGAGAGAGAGAGAGAGAGAGAGAGAGATGGAGGGAGGGTTCTAATTTGATGTCAAAGATGAGAGGAGCAATATGAATAAGCATCGGACGGTTATTCTATCTTTACTCTTTTTATCTGTATTTGACCCTTGTTGAGGTGGTTATCAGACATTTTTGTGGACCAACTAGATTGTACAAACCAACCAAGGGAGAGAGAGAGAAAGAGAGAGATAGTCGGCGGATGACGTCAATTCGTTTCTCGGAGGAGGTTGAAGTGGAGGGTGGAAGTGCGCTGTTCTTTGAGTTGCTCAGTGCTCTCAAAACAATGCGATTAGTTTATTATCTCACTGTTTTTAGAGCAACTAACAACACAGTCCGTGCGATTATAAACTAATCGCACTGATTATAACACCAGAAGCGTGGAGATATACGCGAATCTAACTGCATGTATAATACGATAACACCAGTTATTGCACTCGGAGCTGCGCCTCGTGCGATTATTGTATCAATTTAAGAAATCGGCTGCGCCTCGTGCAATTAATAGTGTAATCGCATTATACGCAGTTAGAGTAGCGTGTATGATATAAACTATAAGTATAAGTATATAAAGCTGGCTGGTTTGTAGATCGCTTATATCATAGGTTTCATGTTGTACTCGTATAATGCATACAAGGTTTACAAGGTTTACAAGGTTTACAAATATAGATCTATATATTACAGTATAATAACGTTAGATCGGCGTTGCTAGAATAAATCCAAATTCCGTAATCCAAATGGGAGAGAAAACCATCACCAAAATGTCGTGGTGTCACTGCATATGTATAAGCATTTTTAAATTTCAATGTAAAAAATTAGGGTATTACAAAATAATATACCCATCAGTATCATCAGTGTTATTTTCACCAAAATAACCGACTGGAAATCAGAATATAACCTCCTATTCTTACTCTTAGTAGTTTAATTAAAACTTAAAGTAACAATTTTTGCTCGAATTCAAAAAATGAAATATTTTGCGCATTCAATTTCAATTCTTATCCATGTAAAATATTCTAAAATCAATCTCAAGAAAATTCAAAATCGGAATTTTGAATTGTGTCTAGTTGTCGGCCGATAACCACAATTTCCGAGATCCCGAAAAAATCAAAATCCAAAACCTTGATGTCCGAGTCAGATTGAGATATAAATATTTGGACTCCATCCCCGCAGTTAGCTGGCCACACTGAGTCACGCTTCCTGTTTGTCACTGAAACTACGGTGTTTTCACAAAGGAGACCCTGGCACGGCGTGTTGCAACCATCTACAAAGCAGTTCCAGCTGTGAGTTTTGGTATTTTCGTCGAAACTTTGTACTTTATCAACACAGTGAACGTTTTGAAAGGTTATCTTTAGGGTCCAAAAGGAAATCTCATCAGATATGTACCTCCGTTTTGCCTTGATCCCAAGATGAGAACTAAGATCTTTAAGGGTGATGGTTTGTGCAGCGGATAGGTTCTCTATTTCACCGTTCACCTTTTGTCTCTGAACTGAACATTTGGAGTTATAGTTTAATGTTGACGTAATGAAACTAAAAGTGTAAATAGAAAGAAATTGTATCTAAAGTGATTTTTCGACTCAGCGTGCCTTTTAAAATTAAAATGTGTACCAAACGTGTATTTGGTTTCTCAGTTTGGTGGCAAGAGATTATTTTTAATCTCAGGGAATAGTGATCGTGTCACCTATAACCTCTCCTATTCCAATGACCATAGTGCGTGATGAAGAATCACATCCTTTTCGAGGTGCTACTATTAAGCATTGTAATCTGTCCTGGGTGACTCCAGTATAAACAGATGACGTGCAACAAAACACTATGGATCTAGACAGGCAAAGGTCGATAAAAAACCGGGTGCGAGATGCTGGCAACTTTTCCTCTCTAAAAATTTGCTGCAGAAACATCACAAAGTAACAACAAGAAACGGTGTGTGGCTCCCTCTGCAAGGACGGATGATACCAGTATGAAGGTGGCGGGGCAAAGCCTAAGGGACCCCCGTGGCCAGATGAGTGTTGGGAGAACACGTCATTGTAGCAGATTTATTTCTCCACAGATCACCCATGTGGACTCCGACTCTAATAAGAAACAGCCAGCGAATTATTCTAAAACAGGTCTTACATTTGGGACATGGAATGTATTATCTCTGACAAGTAGTTCAAGTCAGTTGTTCCAGCTATCAGAGAATATCTCTGAGTATAAGTTGGACCTGCTGGGTATAACTGAGACCCATATGCCTGGTACAGGATCAGAGCTACTGGATAATGGCTCCTTACTTATTTATTCAGGGAGGACGGACGGTATAAGAAGGCGAGGTGTCGGTCTTACCCTTTCAAAGAGAACTAAAAATTCATTAATTTCCTATCTACCAATATCTGACCGTTTGTTGAGTGCAAGGCTGCATAGTCAACACCTGAACATCTCTGTTGTTGTGGCATATGCGCCAACTGAGGGGGCTTCAGATAATGATAAGGATGAATTCTACCAGCAGTTGTCAAGTGCATTCGATGAGCTACCCCGACATGATTTAAAATTACTGCTCGGTGATCTTAATGCTAAGGTCACATCGGACTGCAGTTCTATGTCAGGTGTCATTGGTGGACACTCGCTTCACAGCTCATCAAATGACAATGGTACCCGATTGTTGGACTTTTGCATTGCCCACCAACTTACCATCGGTGGCACTATGTTTCAGCAAAAGGATATACATAAAGGTACGTGGAGATCACCTGATGGTCGTACTGTAAACCAAATAGACCACATCTGTATCAGTAAGAAGTTTGGAGGCTCTTTGCTAAATGTAAAAGTTTGTAGGGGGGCTGACATTGGGTCTGATCACTATTTGGTAAGAGCACGACTGAGAATGAAGCTTATGTCAGTGAAAAAGAAGCAGGAACGTAAGCTTGAGATTCCTGCTATTGAGCATCTGCGTGATCATTCACTTGTTTCCGAATACAATATTGTTCTGAGAAACAAATTTGACTGTTTGGAACCTGAGGTTGACCTGGAATCAATGTGGGACAACTTCAAGACAACTGTCCAACAAGTTTCCATGGAAATCCTTGGGCAAAGACCTCGAAAAAAGAAGGACAGGCACCAATCTCAGAAGACAAAAGAATTATTGAAGAACCGTAAGGAATTTAAGCGTAAAGACCCTAAGTCGAACGCTAACAGGTCAGAGTATTCTAGATTGAATAAGCTCTTTAAAAAAAGTAGCAAGGTGGACGATAACAACTGGGCACGTAGAATGGCCAATGACTTGGAGGAAGCTGCTAGAAAAGGTCAGCAACGTGAGGTATGGCAGAAGATCAATGTCATATCTGGAAAGAAGAAGAAGCAGTCAACTGCAGTTAGAGACGTATCTGGCCAGTTGATTGCCGACCCACATGCCCAGAAAGAAAGGTGGAAAGAGCACTTCTCTAGGCTATTGAACCCTCCCCCGCAAGAGGCCAATATTTCTGACCTAGACAACATCCCTCCGCAACCCAGTTTTGACGACCTTTCCGATTCGGATGAAGCTCCTACAAGAAACGAGATTGTTGATGCCCTCAAAAAACTCAAGAATCACAAAAGTCCAGGAGTGGATGGTATCACCAACGAGCAACTTAAGTACGGACAGGATGGGTTGGTCGATCAACTAGTTGTGCTGTTCAAGAAAGTGTGGGAAGATGAGAAGATTCCTGAGGATTGGTCCAAAGGTGTTATTATCATCGTTGGAAAGAAAGGTGAAACCTCTCATTGCGCTAACAACAGAGGCATTACATTAAGATCCACAGCCTCGAAGCTCCTGCAGATGATACTCCTGCGGAGACTTAGCAATGGCATGGAAAAATTCCTTCGGGAGAATCAAAGTGGTTTCAGACAGAATCGCTCATGTATTGACCAGGTTTATTCACTCCGCTGTATTATACACCAATGCATTGAGTATAATATCCCTCTGTATATTAATTTTGTTGATTTCAAAGCAGCTTTTGATTCAATTGACAGGCAGTTCATTTGGAGAAGTATGCAGCACTACGGCTTACCTGACAAGTACATTAGAATTATGAAGGCGTTCTTTACTCACACAGTTTGTGCTGTTAGGGTCAATGGAGAGGTCACAGGTTGGTTTGATGTCAACTCGGGTACTGGGCAAGGTGATATACAGGGACCACCAGTCTTCAACTTTTGTTTGAATTTTTCGGCATACCTTATGGAACTGAACAAGGTCATTAGCAAAGGGGCTTTATTACAGCTACCAGCCCCCGGGGTAGAAGAAAAACATCTTTTGGACACTGATTACGCTGATGACATGGCCATGTTAGATAACTCAAAAGAGGGGCTGCAGGAAACCACTGACCTTCTCTGCAAATACAGTGCCTATGCAGGTCTGAAGATTAATGCTGGCAAAACACAGAGCATGGTTGTCAGCAAAAGTGCATCGCAGAGGCCGTATTCTAAAGACGACACTATGGACATCAATGTGGAAGGTCTCCCAATACAGCAGGTCAGCAATTTCACTTACTTGGGTGCAATCATCAGTGCGAATGGAACAATTGACAAAGAACTGTCAGCTCGAATTCAAAAGGCCTCTGGGGCATTCTATCAGCTCAGCAGTATATGGTACAGTCGCAACATCAAAACTCCAACTAAAATCAGGATTTACAAAGCGGCTGTTCTCACTATACTGCTTTATGGAAGTGAGGTATGGAATACCACACAGACGCAGATGAAAAGATTTGAGGTGTTCCATCATAGATGTCTGAGGAGAATCCTGAAAATAAAATGGTTTTATCATGTATCTAATGCTGATGTACTTAAGCGGGCTAACATCGCCCCTGTTGATACTTTCGTACGAGCAGCTAGACTCCGATGGTTTGGCCATGTGGTGAGGATGCCAGAAGAAAGAATACCCAACTATCTACTGCACTGGATCCCAAAGCATGGTAAAAGGTCAAGAGGTAGACCTCGGAAAAACTGGTTGTCATGTGTCCGGGAGGATGCAGCAATCTTCACAGGTGTCGATAACATCACGATAGAAGATGCAGAACAACAAGCTACAGACAGGGTTCACTGGAGAGGTCTAATACACCGGAGAAAGGAGTTACTATGTGGTGCAGGCCACTCCAACGACTAGGAGGAGACCTTTTCAAGTACCTTTTCAAGACCTTTTCAAGTACAAGTAAGTAAGTAAGTTTTTTGCGTAAATGTTAATCAAGAACTATTTCGGTCACAAAATCGTACTACTTAAGTAATTATGTATTAGGAATGCCCCACGAAAAACCTTACCGAACCTCCACGCGGTGTGGGGTGGGTGGCTCGAACGGGAGGTGCATGGGTGTTTCTAACCTATGCAAAGGAAGGGACTAGCCATCTCTACAACAAGGAAAGGCTCTAATAGCCTCTACTAACCTTAGAACCGCAGCATAACCGCTTTTCCCACAGGCAAATAACACCTTCCACAGGAAACTAACACGCTCACAGGCCCCCACATGACGTGTAACCCCAGGATTTGGTTTTGGATCACACTGAAAACAACGATAGAGGAGGCTGCCAGACTTTGGGGCCGAAGTGATATGATCCACCATATACGTCATCAAGTAATTAACATGCAAGCTTGAAGCTTGTGGCGTATAATTAGTGATGTGATCCATGGATTGAATATAATTGACCTAGAAATGGGCTAGATCTGGGGTAAAGTTCATATGACAACTCTGCACACAGAAGCTACAAATTAAGAAGTGAACATGTTTTAAATTGAGACAATGTATTGGCTGGTTATAAAATGTTAAATCGATTAATAATATAATACTTCAGAATACAACAAATTACTCAATATTATTACCAAAGTATTTCGCAACAGCGAACAAGTACTCAATCTTTGTTGGGTATGTCGTGTAGAAGGAACAAAGGTCGTACAGAATACTGCTGGAAATCCTCTTCTTTTTGGAAGGAGTCTTTCCAACAGCAAGCCGATCCAGATGGTAATCTGTAACAACCTGTTGCTCCTTGATAGCACGAAAATATTCTTGAACAGAGGGCTTTGGGCGATTCACTCGGGTTTTGAAACCTCTGTGAAACCCCTCCACCATGTTAGAGGTCCGAGGGAACTCCGGATCCTGAAGAATACTGGCGAAATGATTCCAGAACTCTAAAGGATATGTGGGAGGAACCCTCACCTCACTGTTTACAATGGCTGACCCTGTCATCATTTTTCTTGCGGCTGTAGATATATCCGTCAGAATCAAGCACCTGTTTACATCCTCTGAAACCGTTGAGGAACTTGGAGAAGGTAGGCATGACTGTTGATAGAATTAAATGCGATACTACTACCTTCTATCACCCAATATTTATACCTAGAACACTAGATCGGCTCACTCCCCTTGCAAGCCTTTGACACGTACGTCTCACATCCCTTGATACGAGAACCCCCCTTTAGCAAGAGCTCCCGTCCCTTATGTGATCTACGAGTCGAGCAGTCAGATCATGTTTACTTCTTAATGAACAGCTATGTTGTACAGAATTGACATGTGAACTCTACCCAGTATCTAGCCTATTTCTGGGCCAATTAAATTCTACAGATGGATCACATCACTAATTATACGTCACTAATTGGTGACGTGATCTGACTCCTCTTTGGGGGCCGGATCAGTTTTCGGCCCCAAAGTCTCCCAGTGATAGAGGAGCGGTCTACACGCTTACAGGCTACCATGTCTCGTGTAACCCCAGGATTTGACACGTTCACAGGCTACCATGTCTCGTGTAACCTTAGGATTTAAACACGCTCACAGGCTACCACGTCTCGTGTAACCCTAGGACTCTAACACTTAACAGACTCTAACACGCTCACAGGCTTCCACGCCTGATCGTGTACCCTAGGATTTGGTTTTGGATCGGACACTCAAAACAACGATAGAGGAGCGGTCTACACGCTCACAGGCTACCATGTCTCGTGTAACCCCAGGATTAGACACGTTCACAGGCTACCATGTCTCGTGTAACCCCAGTATTTGGTTTTGGATCGGACACTCAAAACAACGATAGAGGAGCGGTCTACACGCTCACAGGCTACCATGTCTCGTGTAACCCCAGGATTTGACACGTGCACAGGCTACCATGTCTCGTGTAACCCTAGGACTCTAACACTTAACAGACTCTAACACGCTCACAGGCTTCCGCGTCTCGTGTACCCTAGGATTTGGTTTTGGATCGGACAGTCAAAACAACGATAGAGGAGTGGTCTACACGCTCACAGGCTACCATGTCTCGTGTAACCCCAGGATTTTACACGTTCACAGGCTACCACGCCTCGTGTACCCTAGGATTTTGTTTTGGATCGGACACTCAAAACAACGATAGAGGAGCGGTCTACACGCTCACAGACTACCACGTCTCGTGTAACCCCAGGATTTAACACGCTCACAGGCTACCAAGTCTCGTGTAACCTTAGGATTTAACACGCTCACAGGCTACCACGTTTCGTGTAACCCTAGGACTCTAACACTTAACAGACTCTAACATGCTCACAGGCTTCCACGTCTCGTGTACCCTAGGATTTGGTTTTGGATAGAGGAGCGGACTACACGCTCACAGGCTACCATGTCTCGTGTAACCCCAGGATTTTACACGTCCAAAGGCTACCACGCCTCGTGTACTTAGGATTTGGTTTTGGATCGGACACTCAAAACAACGATAGAGGAGCGGTCTACACGCTCACAGGCTACCATGTCTCGTGTAACCCTAGGATTTAACACGCTCACAGGCTACGACGTTTCGTGTAGCCCTATAGGACTCTAACACTTAACAGACTCTAACACGCTCACAGGCTTCCACGTCTCGTGTACCCTAGGATTTGGTTTTTGGATCGGACACTCAAAACAACGATAGAGGAGTGGTCTACAATGACGTTACAGGAACATTGCATACTCCTACGAGTTGCATGTAGCAGGCCATGACCGTCCCTGGAAGTCCCTGTCTCCTCATCGTTAACCCGTAAGGGGTTGCACCAGGGGCGGTGGTAACAGAACTTCAAGACTCTCGGAGTCTGTTGTCGATATCTATGTATAATATAATTATGGTATATAACTTGGGAGTCTCTCTCTCTAGCAGCAGGAGTTGGAGAATGGGGACGCGTTGTGAAAGCCACCGCAAGGAAGGCTTACAGTCGACGCCGACCAATCAAAAGAAGTATTAGGAATGTAATGTAATAACTCATCACTACTGAAGTACTGACTATAAAACTAACCTAACTGACGTCCAAATACAGCAAGCTCCGACACCTCGAAAAAATCGTACCCCAACTTTTTGGCATTTTCTTTGGTTATCGAAACTTTAACTCCATTTCCACAATTACCACGCATGATTTTATTTTCATCTTCAATGCTGCTTTCGTCTACATTGCTTTCGTTCAAAACAGTGACATCTACATATTTACACATTCTTCCCTCACACGGATCACCACAACCACTTTCCATGCATGTCCAAGTATGAGTGTAGATATCTGAATCCAAACTCATCACTTGATCTACACAATATATATCATCAAAGTGTACTTGGTACCAGAAAGAATCCTCATCGGATACAAACTTTGCAGAAGTGTCCATTTTACCGTCAATCCCAAGCTCAGGATCGTTGTAACGAAGAATGGTTGAAGATTCAGCAGATTTCATCGGCACAGCCCTAAGTTTCTGTCTGGTTACTGAAATAGTAAGAGTATTAAATTGTTATACAACCGTCCTGCAGTCTGTATTATACAGTCTGTACAGTGTACAGTTTACAGTGTACCGTGTACAGTGTACAATGTACAATGTACAATGTACAATGAACAGTGTACACAAATACTCCGTCTTAATTCTTGAATCATGTGACTTTGGAAGTATTTTGAAATAATCCACCAAAACTTTAAAACTATTCCAATGATAGCTCACCAAGTTCAGGAACAAACTGCCGACCTATAACCAAAATCTCCGATACCCCAAAATAATCAAAGTTCAGCACCTTCCCATCCGCCTCTGGAATCGATATTTTAACCGCAGCGCCACAATTAGCCGGCAAATCTGCACCTAGAGATTCATCGTTTAAAACGGAGACTCGTATTTGTTTACACCTGGATCCCACGCACGTTTCACAGCCATCTAATTTGGCACAAGTCCAACGGTGAGTGGTTTCTCCTCCATTTATACTCAATACTTTATCCACGCAGTATGTGTCTCCAAAATCTACTCGGATATACCAGGAAGAAATGTCATCTGATATGTATCTGCGAGGAGTGTCTATTCCGAGTTCAGACATCAGGTCGTATAGTATCACAGATGATTGAGCAGATGTTACTTGAATTTCTCCCTTGACTTTCGTTCGTAGTGCTAAAGGAGCAGAGGTTATGACATATGAACGAATGAAGATTGAAGAGTTATATTATTATATTAAGTAAGGATTCGGGTGGAATTTCAGTTACTGGTATGTCAGTAATCTTAAATTGCTCCCTTAGCAAACCAGCTTTGGATGAACATTTTGTGAACGGACATAATTTTGGGCAGACATCATTATTGGCGCAAGCATGTCTTCGAACGGACATTGAAGCCAAATATTCTAAGGAGATTAACATTTGGCGGAAAAAAAGGGAGCAAAGCCTTCCAGCGGACTAGTGGTAAACAGCACAGAATCACAAGACCAAAACCAATAGGGATATTATACAAACATGCTCAAATTTCCGTTCAAGACATAAAGAATGAGCTAATCTGTTACGAAGCTCTTATCACCGGAGAGTTAAAGTACAAACATGATGTCGATGATGAACGACTAAAGTACAATTATATATTGGCAGAAATTACATGAAATAAAAAAGAAACTCACTTTGCCTGCGACCAGTCACTGAAAACTCGGAAACCTCAAAGAAGTCATAATCTAATGTTTTGGCATTTTCTTTTGATATCGATATTTTGACCCCATCTCCACAGTTTGCTGGGATATCTACAGATGTCAAATCCCCACAAGATTTCGATGAAAATTTTGTAAATGTGCTGTGTTTATAATCATTTAAAACAGTGACATCTACATATTTACACATTCTTCCCTCACACGGATCACCACAACCACTTTCCATGCAGGTCCAAGTATGAGTGTAGATATCTGAATCCAAACTCATTACTTGATCTACACAATATATGTCATCAAAGTGTACTTGGTACCAGAAAGAATCCTCGTCGGATACAAACTTTGCAGAAGTGTCCATTTTACCGTCAATCCCAAGCTCAGGATCGTTGTAACGAAGAATGGTTGAAGATTCAGCAGACTTGAGCTCTACTTCTCCAACAGTTTGTCTAAGAGCTGAATAAATTGATTAACTCAACTTTGTCTTACCATAGCAACGATTAAGTCGCACGGTGAACTTAATTTGAGAATATATTTTATGAATTTGAGGAATGGTTAGATCGGAAGATGGTAAATAAAATGGTAAATAAAAACCTGGGAATTACTGTATATTGTCAGTGAAAGTAACTCGAAATGCACAAACCTAACTCAAAACAGAGAGCGCCAGGTTCGTCTTGATACACGGAAGTGGGCGTTGGCCCGACATAAAGTTGGCCAGTCACTGCTATCTCAGAGATTCCAAAATAATCAAAATCCAACAGTTTACCATCTGTTTGAGGTATAGATATCCTAACCGCGTTCCCACAATTAGCAGGTAGATCCTCTTGTAGATCCAGGTTGAGAACGGACACTTCAAGGTCGTTACACCTGGACCCCTTACACGGAGCCATTCCACAACCATCCTCAGAACACTCCCAACTGTGAGTGGTTTCTCCTCCATTTATACTCAATACTTTATCCACGCAGTATTTGTCTCCAAAATCTACTCGGATATACCAGGAAGAAATGTCATCTGATATGTATCTGCGAGGAGTGTCTATTCCGAGTTCAGACATCAGGTCGTATAGTATCACAGATGATTGAGCAGATGTTACTTGAATTTCCTCTTTGACTTGTGGCTTAAGTGCTGAAATTGGAATAACTTTCAGGTTGAAAAGAGAAAAAATTGTATCTCAAATAGAGAAAATGCAGCTAATCCAGTATTGAAAGAGTGGCACATAAAACTGGTTTGATAAGTCACTTTACACTATCACGTGACTTAGTTTAACCCTAACTGCTAACCTAACTAAAGTATCTTGCTAAAACCCTAACCCTGGCCAGATGACCATGTCACGTGATAACTTGTCAGGGAAGCATTTTAACCATGTGTCATCAGTCATGTGGGTTGATTCGGAATCAGCGTTCAAAAATATGTCGATTCAAGTTGGTTTCAACAGCACGTTCAGGATCCATTTGCACCCCCATACCTGGCACCCCCTTACCTGGCACCCCCTTACCTGGCACCACCTTACCTAGCACCCCTTACTTCGCACCCCCTTACCTGGCACCACCTTACCTGGCACCCCCTTACTTCGCACCCCCTTACCTGGCACCCCCTTACCTGGCACCCCCTTACCTGGCACCCCCTTACTTGGCACCACCTTACCTGGCACCACCTTACCTGGCACCCCCTTACTTCGCACCCCCTTACCTGGCACCCCCTTACCTGGCACCCCCTTACCTGGCACCCCCTTACTTGGCACCACCTTACCTGGCACCACCTTACCTGGCACCCCCTTACCTGGCACCCCTTACCTGGCACCCCCTTACTTGGCACCCCTTTACCTGGCACCCCCCTTACCTGGCACCACCTTACTTCGCACCCCCTTACCTGGCACCCCCTTACCTGGCACCCCCTTACTTGGCACCCACACAATTCGTTTTCGTGCATCTTTGAAATGGCTGAATATATTTTATAACATCTATTATCCTACTGTGCAGGACCTTATTATTTAACATTTTGAACATTTGAATATAATTTGAAACATTACAGAAATGTTGTACAAATCGCTCAAACACACACACAAGGTCTTAATTCGGTTAAGTTCCAATCGAAAATTAAATGATTCTCAAAATGTAGGTGTCTAATGAAAATGTGATACTGTGTGACAAAGTTAAGAATGTCTTAGTGAAAGAGAGTTAACTGTCGATAAATTCATGTGAGGTACTATCGAAGTTCAAAATGTTGTGATGGGTGACATGATAGTGACTGATAAGAAAAAGTTTTCATGTCAACTGTGCCATAATCCAGAACAGTGTGATGACTGTCAAAGTGTCGACCACTAGGTACTTGGACGAACAAGTGTACCCGAGGTGTTCTGAGATGGCATGCTCGGGAACACGAACGCGCGCTAGTCGCTAGGGCAAAAAAAGAAATGCACAGTAAGCAAGTTAAAAAAAAAGGAAAATTAAAATGCCGCTTGGGCCAAATGCAGTGAGCCAGTAAGGTGCGGTCGTAGGAGCAAGTGGCTCTGAAGACTAAAACTGATGAGACTGATGAGGCTGATACAGAAAATGAAGACTGAAAGGGGGGAAGCAAAGGAGAAGGAAAGGATGCAGGGGGACAAGAAAAAAGAAACAAGAGTGGAGACAAACCACCTGCTGAGGTCTGGCTAAAATCAGAATGCAGTGAGCGGCCCGTGTAACAAAATCGTCCGTGGCAGTCTACCCCGTACGCAGACTACGGTCCAAGATTTCAGGCGCCAGAATACACCTTTTGGTGCAGAGCTGGTCACGACCAGGGTCCTCTCGGATACCCCGTCTCGGAGGTCGGGCCAATGGAGCGATCCATTGCTGTACTAACAACCATTGTAACCCTATCACTCTGAAGGCCCCACAGTTCCTACATGGACGCACGGCCGGAAGCCCATGTAGGGACGGAAAGTCCCAAGAGTCGCTCATAGCATCCGTCACAGATCCAAAGCAGAAGGAGAAGGAAAGAAAGAACGAGAAAAGCAGAAGAGAGCTGGCTGAAGGACTACTTTCCATCTTCATCACGAAGGCTGTCTTTGTGCTTGAGGTTCAGACTGTACATTTCTCTGATGGTTGAGCATGAAAGTCTAATCAAGTTCACATCCTGCTCGTTAAGGATACCGTAAAGATCTTCGGTACGAGAGAGAGTGTTGACAATGTTGTTCAGTCCGTTGTCATTGCTGTTTCCCAAGCTTTCACTAGCTCTGGTAAACTTGTCTCTGATAGCCTTCCCTTGTGGGCAGGAAGTGAGAAAGTGTGTTTCATCCTCTATGATCCCGGTTGATCCTTTCAGTTCACAAAAGGTGCAAGTTCTGCTCTCTAGAGGTGTTTTGTCGTATCTCCCAATTTCTATGCTGAGTCTGTGAGAACTGCACCTTATTTGAGCTGTTGATCTTCTGTCATTGAGAGTTCTTGCATAATCGAGGTAAGGCTCCCATGCAAAGACTGTTTTGACGTCCTTGTAGAAAGTGAGTTTCCTGCTCTCGTTAATCTTTGATCTCCAGGAGTCTGTAAAAAGCTTTTGAAAGTTATTTACCAGCTCGTCTGGACTGCAAGCGTCTGCAAACGCAGTTGCGTTGAGTAGAAGCGAAGAGTTCCTTGCATATGTTCTAGGATCAATGTTGTTGAAGCACTTGATGATGTTTTCTATTCCAGAGTACCACGAAAGATGCAAGTTTATTTGCTCAGTCATAGCAGCCTTCACCAGTTGAGACGATGGAAGACCCATTATCCTTTTGAAGTATTTGACACTTAGTTTTAATACTTCGATCAGTAGTGGGTACGAACCTGTCTCACCCCATGCAGTTGCATTGGTAGCCCGTCTGTTTATCCCAAGGAGGAACTTCAGGTGACGGAGGTGAACCTGCTCGATTTGTTGCTTTGCCATGTGGGTCATTGAGTTGTTCAAGTTTTGATCCCTCATGAGGCACGAAAGAACTTTTGTTACCTCTGGAAGAGTGGGTGCCCAGACTTGGCAGCCGTACAGTAAGATGGGCTTAACCAGTGAGTTGAAAAGCTTGTGGAAACATGAGGCGTCAACAAATCTGCGATCGATTGTGCTTCTGAGGCTGAAATATGCTCCGAGCCCTTTGCGGTAAAGAGAATCAGTGGCTTGTCGGAATTTACCATTGCTACTGATAAGAATGCCAAGATAGCAGTAGTGGGAGACCATCTCGATGTCGTTGCCATGTGCTTTGGGACGCCAACTAGGGGTATCCGGAGCTTTACTGTTGAAAACCATAAACTTGGTTTTGGATATATTGATTTCCAGTCCCCAGTTATCGCAGTACGTCGTGATGATCGTGATTAGCTTTTGCAGCGATTCTTGGTCAAGGGCAAGAATAACTAAATCATCAGCCCAGGCTAGATGAGTTACTGAAAGTCCTGCAAGCATGGGGCAGTTGGCTAGGGCTTCGTTGAGGAGATCAGAGAGCTCTTTGAAGTACACCTTGAACAATTCTGGACTAAGAGGGTGACCTTGCTCTGTCCCTTTCAGGATACTGAAGGCTTCACTGATTTTGCCATTGATCTTTATATGTCCTTCCGACTTGCTGTACATGTCTTTGATGATGTTGTAGAACCCACCATTAACACCATAACATGATAGTTTGAATAGGAGGGCCTGTCGACATACAAGGTCAAAGGCTTTACGAAGGTCAATGAATATAGCAAAGACCTTCTGCTTTACTCTCTTGTACTTCTCAATGATCGATATCAGAGTGAAAATGTGATCATTACATTGGCTCCCTTTGGTGAATCCAGCTTGATTGGGCGGATCTGAATGTGTCGTTTGCCGGTGTGTGACAAGTCTCGATAGCAGCATTGTTGACAATAGCTTGCCAATGCAGCTGCAGACTGCAATAGCTCTGTAGTTATCGGGATTTCTAATGCAGCCTTTCTTGTGTAACGGCGTTATCACGCTTTTACTCCAAAGATACACACCTGTGGTCAAACAGAGATTGAAAAGTTTAAGAAGTAGATTTCTCATATTCTCGTTTAGGCTTTTGATCATCTCGTTACTGACATGGTCAAAGGATGACGCTTTGCCAGTCTTCAGACTGTTGATGGCACCGTTCAGCTCTTCAATGGTAAAAGGGCTGTTTAAAGCTTCGTTTGGCACGGATCCTTTAGCAAATGTGTCAGCTTCTTCAAGAAGGGCTTTCTTAGTAAGACTGTCAACAGTTGGGTGGGAGTCGGAGTAAAGATTAGCATAAAAATTCTGAAAAGTTTGGAGCTGTTCGGGATCGGTTTGAACCTCATCTTTCTTAAAGTTCTTTAATTTCTTGAAATCCCGCCAAGAGATAGCTTTACCATTCTTGATTTTTTTGTTCAGTCTTTTGAAAAAGTCATCCTTCTTTTTATTGATGATCTTCCTGTAACTTTTCGAGTTGGCACGGTGTCGGGCTTTGATCCTTTGACTGTCGGGGTTTTGGTCGACAACTTTGATTGACCGCTTGAAGAGTCGCCTGGCTGCATGGCAATTACCATCAAACCAAGAATTTAATGTTAAGACATCGCCACAACGTGTTAAAATACATTGTTTTGCAGGCAAGGGTCGAATATAATCGATCCATTACATATGATCAAGAAGGACTACAAATAATCTCACCTTGTTTTCGACCTGTTACAGAAAACTCGGAAACCTCAAAAAAGTCATAACCCAATGTTTTGGCGTTTTCTTTTGACATCGATATTTTTACCCCTTCTCCACAGTTTGCTGGTAACTCTAGATATGATAAGTCTCCACAAGATTTGGATGACATTTCTGTTAATGCATTGTGACGATTCTCATTTAAAACAGTAACATCTACATATTTACACATTCTTCCCTCACACGGATCACCACAACCACTTTCCATACAGGTCCAAGTATGAGTGTAGATATCTGAATCCAAACTCATCACTTGATCTACACAATATATATCATCAAAGTGTACTTGGTACCAGAAAGAATCCTCATCGGATACAAACTTTGCAGAAGTGTCCATTTTACCGTCGATCCCAAGCTCAGGATCGTTGTAACGAAGAATGGTTGAAGATTCAGCAGATTTCAGCTCTACTTCTCCAACAGTTTGTCTAAGAGCTGAATAAATTGAATTGAAAAATCATATTTTACCGGGTGGAGGTTGAATTTCAAAGTGAAATTTTATAATTTCAATTCATACTATATAGCACAAACTTTAATTGAATTAAAAATTAAATAGAAAATTAAAACTACCTAATACTGAACAGAGAGCGTCAGGGTCGTCTTGATACACGGAAGTGGGCGTTGGCCCGACATAAAGTTGTCCAGTCACTGCTATCTCAGAGATTCCAAAATAATCAAAATCCAACAGTTTACCATCTGTTTGAGGTATGGATATCCTAACCACGTTCCCACAATTAGCAGGTAGATCCTCTCGTAGATCCAGGTTGAGAACGGACACTTCAAGGTCGTTACACCTGGACCCCTTACACGGAGCCATTCCACAACCATCCTCAGAACACTCCCAACTGTGAGTGGTTTCTCCTCCATTTATACTCAATACTTTATCCACGCAGTATGTGTCTCCAAAATCTACTCGGATATACCAGGAAGAAATGTCATCTGATATGTATCTGCGAGGAGTGTCTATTCCGAGTTCAGACATCAGGTCGTACAGTATCACAGATGATTGAGCAGATGTTACTTGAATTTCATCTTTAATTTGTGGCGTCACAGCTGAAATTTTCAAAAATATCAGTCAGACAAAAAATGATTTTGCTGAATTTTATAGGATGTAATTGTGTTGTGGTTGACATGGGCACAACTATTTTCACAACTTTAACTGCAAATGAATAAGTTTATTTAGGATGATACAGAAAAAAATCTTACTTCTTCTAACGCAGAGTAAAGTCAATGGTTGTATAACTATAATGTAAAATATACATGTGTATTGTGTAATGTGTATATATCTGCATTGTAACTTTACCAAGGGCATGAAAATAATTTTGCATTAATTATCTGGCAGACGCCGAACTAATAAATCATACGCATTTGCTTAGGTGGATCCCGCGTTTGCTTAGGTGAAACAACATCTGGGAACTAGCTCAAACGTTCCCCCTTGGTACCCCTAAATGAATGAAAGGTGCCTTTGGAATTTGAATCCATTGACAAAATTGATGAATAATGTTTAAAATGAATTAACCAGCTCAACATTCTGAATCCTACCTTGTTTTCGACCTGTTACAGAAAACTCGGAAACCTCAAAAAAGTCATAACCCAATGTTTTGGCGTTTTCCTTTGATATCGATATTTTTACCCCTTCTCCACAGTTTGCTGGAATCTTAAAAGTTGACAAATCACCACAAGATTTGGATGATATTTCTGTTAATGCATTGTGACGATTCTCGTTCAAAACAGTGACATCTACATATTTACACATTCTTCCCTCACACGGATCACCACAACCACTTTCCATACAGGTCCAAGTATGAGTGTAGATATCTGAATCCAAACTCATTACTTGATCTACACAATATATATCATCAAAGTGTACTTGGTACCAGAAAGAATCCTCATCGGATACGAACTTTGCAGAGGTGTTCATTTTACCGTCGATCCCAAGCTCAGGATCGTTGTAACGAAGAATGGTTGAAGATTCAGCAGACTTGAGCTCTACTTTTCCAACAGTTTGTCTAAGACCTGTAAAAATATAAATTGATCCGATTTATTTTTTGTCACTGGAAGTGTGATCAATTTAAGATTGGCCGAAATAAAATGTTTACATGTAGTTGGTTTTGAACTTCAGATTAAAAGTGAATTTTATACGAAAAGGAAAAAGAAAACCTAGTATACCAAATTCTAAGCAGAGGGCGCCCGGTTCGTCTTGATACACGGAAGTGGGCGTTGGCCCGACATAAATTTGTCCAGTCACTGCTATCTCAGAGATTCCAAAATAATCAAAATCCAACAGTTTACCATCTGTTTGAGGTATAGATATCCTAACCGCGTTCCCACAATTAGCAGGTAGATCCTCTTGTAGATCCAGGTTGAGAACGGACACTTCAAGGTCGTTACACCTGGACCCCTTACACGGAGACATTCCACAACCATCCTCAGAGCACTCCCAACTGTGAGTGTCGGCAGCCCCTTTTATACTCAATACTTTATCCACGCAGTATTTGTCTCCAAAATCTACTCGGATATACCAGGATGAAATGTCATCTGATATGTATCTGCGAGGAGTGTCTATTCCGAGTTCAGACATCAGGTCGTATAGTATCACAGATGATTGAGCAGATGTTACTTGGATTTCCTCTTTGACTTGTGGTTTCAGAGCTGAAAATCTGGATTAATCATTTGACAAATGTGATGGTATATATCCTATTCTGCTATGAACACTAAATTAAATCGAAATTTAATAAACCAAATTTTGATGCAGAATTACCTTAAAAAGTACCCTGTATTGTTAGAAACCGTGCATACTCATATTACTCAACTACACTATGAGAGTAAATTGATTGTTTTAATATTCAATAGTTTTATTGTAAAGCATTAATCATTTTAACAAAGTTGATTATTGTTTAGTGGAGACGATAATTGTCTGAATTTACCTTGTTTGCGACCAGTTACGGAAAATTCGGAAACCTCAAAGAAGTCGTAATCCAAAGTTTTAGCGTTTTCTTTCGAGATGGATATTCTGACTCCGTCTCCACAGTTTGCAGGGATATTAGTAGACGAAAATTTCCCACAAGAGCTTGATCTTGATGACATGTTTTCGTTTTCGTCTACATTACTTTCGTTCAGAACAGTGACATCTACATATTTACACATTCTTCCCTCACACGGATCACCACAACCACTTTCCATGCAGGTCCAAGTATGAGTGTAGATATCTGAATCCAAACTCATTACTTGATCTACACAATATATATCATCAAAGTGTACTTGGTACCAGAAAGAATCCTCATCGGATACGAACTTTGCAGAAGTGTCCATTTTACCGTCAATCCCAAGCTCAGGATCGTTGTAACGAAGAATGGTTGACGATTCAGCAGATATCAAAGAAACTGGTCCAACAGCTTGTCTCAGAACTAACGAATTTATCATAAAATATGAATTTACATACAACATTTACATGACATAAAATATCGAAATATCATAATTTTTGTTCAGAATGCTGACTATCACCTAATTATTGACCATTGAAGTTTTCCAGTTATAAATATAATCGGCTTATTATTTTACCGGCCCCTACATCTTATTATGCATTTGATTGAGTTATCTTATTTCATTCTTAATTTCGCTAAAATGGATTTCTAGTATCTATACAAAAGTCTTTTTAGCTAAGCTTCCGATTAACTAAATAAACCATTTGAGACTCAAACTCATACACTTATAATTGCTATATAACTCTCAATCACTCACCTAGATGATGGCAATCCCGTCCAATCACAGCCAATTCTGCGATTTCAAAGAAATCATATCCCAACTCCCTGGCATTATGTCTTGAAATGGACACCTTGACTCCAGACCCACAATTACGGGGCAACATCATATCTCCGGTTCCGTCACCCTCGTTGAGGACTGTTATATCAACATACCTGCACAAGGGAATATATTGATTCGTTGAACGGTTGTTTTTATATAGGGTCATTATGTGACAATTATGTGTATATTGTTTGAATAATGTTTTACATACCTACACATCACCCCTCCACACGTATCATCACAACCCCTCTCAGTGCAGTTCCAGGTATAATAAATACTGAATAATGTTTAACATACCTACACATCACCCCCCCCCCCCCCCCCCTCCACACGTATCACCACAACCCCTCTCAGTGCAGTTCCAGGTATAATAAATACTGAATAATGTTTAACATACCTGCACATCACCCCACCCCCCCCCCCCCCCCCCCACACGTATCATCACAACCCCTCTCAGTGCAGTTCCAGGTATAATAAATACTGAATAATGTTTAACATACCTACACATCACCCCCCCCCCCACACGTATCATCACAACCCCTCTCAGTGCAGTTCCAGGTATAATAAATACTGAATAATGTTTAACATACCTACACATCACCCCCCCCCCCCCCTCCACACGTATCACCACAACCCTTCTCAGTGCAGTTCCAGGTATAATAAATACTGAATAATGTTTTACATACCTGCACATCACCCCTCCACACGTATCATCACAACCCCTCTCAGTGCAGTTCCAGGTATAATAAATACTGAATAATGTTTTACATACCTACACATCACCCCCCCCCCCCACACGTATCATCACAACCCCTCTCAGTGCAGTTCCAGGTATAATAAATACTGAATAACGTTTTACATACCTACACATCACCCCTCCACACGTATCATCACAACCCCTCTCAGTGCAGTTCCAGGTATAATAAATACTGAATAATGTTTTACATACCTGCACATCACCCCCCCCCCCCACACGTATCATCACAACCCCTCTCAGTGCAGTTCCAGGTATAATAAATACTGAATAATGTTTTACATACCTACACATCACCCCCCTCCCCCCCCCCCCCCCCCACACGTATCATCACAACCCCTCTCAGTGCAGTTCCAGGTATAATAAATACTGAATAATGTTTTACATACCTGCACATTACCCCCCCCCCCCCCCCCCAACACGTATCATCACAACCCCTCTCAGTGCAGTTCCAGGTATAATAAATACTGAATAACGTTTTACATACCTGCACATCACCCCTCCACACGTATCATCACAACCCCTCTCAGTGCAGTTCCAGGTATAATAAATACTGAATAATGTTTTACATACCTACACATCACCCCTCCACACGTATCATCACAACCCCTCTCAGTGCAGTTCCAGGTATAATAAATACTGAATAATGTTTTACATACCTACACATCACCCCTCCACACGTATCATCACAACCCCTCTCAGTGCAGTTCCAGGTATAATAAATACTGAATAATGTTTAACATACCTACACATCACCCCTCCACACGTATCACCACAACCCCTCTCAGTGCAGTTCCAGGTATAATAAATACTGAATAATGTTTAACATACCTACACATCACCCCTCCACACGTATCACCACAACCCCTCTCAGTGCAGTTCCAGGTATAATAAATACTGAATAATGTTTAACATACCTGCACATCACCCCCCCCCCTCCACACGTATCACCACAACCCCTCTCAGTGCAGTTCCAGGTATAATAAATACTGAATAATGTTTTACATACCTGCACATCACCCCCCCCCCCCCCCCCACACGTATCATCACAACCCCTCTCAGTGCAGTTCCAGGTATAATAAATACTGAATAATGTTTTACATACCTACACATCACCCCTCCAAACGTATCACCACAACCCTCTCAGTGCAGTTCCAGGTATAATAAATACTGAATAATGTTTAACATACCTACACATCACCCCTCCACACGTATCACCACAACCCCTCTCAGTGCAGTTCCAGGTATAATAAATACTGAATAATGTTTTACATACCTACACATCACCCCCCACACGTATCATCACAACCCCTCTCAGTGCAGTTCCAGGTATAATAAATACTGAATAATGTTTAACATACCTGCACATCACCCCTCACACGTATCACCACAACCCTCTCAGTACAGTTCCAGGTATAATAAATACTGAATAATGTTTAACATACCTGCACATCACCCCTCACACGTATCACCACAACCCTCTCAGTGCAGTTCCAGGTATAATAAATACTGAATAATGTTTAACATACCTGCACATCACCCCCCACACGTATCACCACAACCCTCTCAGTGCAGTTCCAGGTATAATAAATACTGAATAATGTTTAACATACCTGCACATCACCCCTCCACACGTATCATCACAACCCCTCTCAGTGCAGTTCCAGGTATAATAAATACTGAATAATGTTTAACATACCTGCACATCACCCCCCACACGTATCACCACAACCCTCTCAGTGCAGTTCCAGGTATAATAAATACTGAATAATGTTTAACATACCTGCACATCACCCCCCACACGTATCATCACAACCCCTCTCAGTGTAGTTCCAGGTATAATAAATACTGAATAATGTTTAACATACCTACACATCACCCCCCCCCCCACACGTATCATCACAACCCCTCTCAGTGCAGTTCCAGGTATAATAAATACTGAATAATGTTTTACATACCTGCACATCACCCCTCCACACGTATCATCACAACCCCTCTCAGTGCAGTTCCAGGTATGGGTGTAGATACCCGCGTCCAGACTCAGAACCTGGGCGACACAGCGGGTATCTTGGAAGTGTACTTTGTACCAGAATGTGTTCTCGTCAGAAACAAATTTAGCTGAGGTGTCCATGTCTCCGTCTATTCCCAGTTCGGGGTCGTAATGTCGCAGGATTACGGACGATTCAGCGGATTTCAATGTTATTTCTCCTTCAATTTTTTGTCTCAGTGGCGATTGTGACACATCTGAAATGCGGAAAGCTACAAAAACATATTGAATGCATTTTCTTTGAATTTATTTCTAGCTTGTACAAGAAGTCGTAATTAGTAATAGTTCAACGATTCAGTGATGAAAGAAATAACACTGTTATTTAAGTATTCAATAACTGTGAATATACCTGCAGATCGCTTTCTTTTTTGTGTGACTGATTTACTTCTCAGTGAACCTAAAAATAATAAATTTCAGCATAAGTTTGAACGGAAAATATCTTAATTTAGCATAACATACATATAATTCATATCATTTTAACCATAGTTAGAAATATTGGAATATAAATTAGTAATAAAATCACAAATTCTATTCGATCCTCGGGAGCTAGGTTAAAATAGAAATAGCTGTTATACCAAATAGGTTCAGAATAGGTTTCACAATCTAATTTTATAATCTTATCTTTAAGCTAAATTATCAAATAACCTATGTACTAACAAAGATGGGTGGTTTCAAAAACAGTCGATAAATATGTAATTAATAATTAATTATGTAATTAATAATCTATAACCTGAAGAACACTGTAAGTTACACATGTTCACTGCAATTTTCTCAATTTTCAAGCATTTCCTGCGCTCCCTTCTCGACATCACCCTGGTCCCAGAGATCCCTCCTGGATAACAGTTCCTCATCAAAGCTGGTCTGTAACCGTTCCGTTGACATCCGTCTATCTCCTTGCTGGTCCTCTTGCACAGATACACGCCAAGGTTAGCGTCCACAAAGGATAGGGATAAGCTAACTATGGCGATCTGAACTACTATGAACATGGAATCTTAGCAATATAATATAGGGGTTAAATTCTCATTTGAAGAAAAATATAAAACAGTCATGATTTGAATTCGATTAATTGTGGTCTACGGCAAGTTTGTATTTTATACTCAAGCTCCCTTTTAGGAACAATTCCTAAACAGGATTGTAAAAAAGCAACTTACCGCTATTCTAACTTAAGACCCCCCTTAAATAAGTTAAATACCAACATTAAAATGTAATAATAGATCAAATTAAAACTTATCGCCGTTGCCGGAACCGTTGAATAAACAAAACGTGGCAACCTTCCAAATTATAAAGTCATACATACAAACCTAATGGAAACAAAACAGAGAATATAAAAGTAAACAACTTCCTAAAGACCAGACACCCAGCGCGGTGTAAGACGAAGATAATTGCATTGCATATGTGTCCAGGTTTGGTGAATATTATAATTTTGAAACGAACCACGTATGTGACAACTTTTAGTTTCCGGAATACGCTCAGGATATCAGAGCTCCAAAGTAATTATTCGTCAATTCATCACTCATCAGTCGTTTTATATATTAGATTAAGATAAGCTCATTGATAAAGTGATCAGTTCAGGACACTATCCATTATCGTCACTTTTCCGTCAAGGGAGATAAATAACACCAACCAACTTTTACCTGAATGAGACTTTTCAAAGTAACGTTAATTATAAAATTATCATGAAATACGGTATTTTACTCTATACCATTCTCTACTACCGTTCGAACACCAAATAGGCGTGGTAATTAAGAGGCGATTCTCATGAAACCAATTTTAGCGATTTCTCTTCAATAAAAGTTATGTAGAACTCTGAACTGTAACAAGTTTCCAGCTTCAGCTACAAAACACGACGATTTTAAAGACGATCCTTTGACTTCCTCATCCTAGGATCAGTAGAGGGAATGTTGACCACAACTAAAACACCTCAATAACTTTTATATGCTGAATTATTGGTACTTAAATTCACATTAAAATAATATATTACTGATCGATGTAATAACCCATCAAATATTTCAATTGATGATTAAGTTTAGATTTACAATAAAACCACATGTTTCATAAGCTCAAACTAAATTACTAAATTTATAATTTAAAGCTCAAATACATACAGTTTAAACTTCAAGTATATCATGATCAAAAATCGAATGTCTTTAATTATATGAGATATGAACTGATTTAATACTTTCCATGGATAGCAATACAAATAGATTTAAATCTTCAAAATTAGAAGAATGTATCAAAAGATAAAAGTCAAGTAAAACCAAATTTTATAAACTCTATAAATGCTTATCCATCCCCTCATTCGATATTATTTGATAAACATTTTACACTATTGTCTATTCTCATGGTCTGACCTCCTTAACCTTACTTCAAAGAAATTGGAACGAGTAAATTTCCCGCCCAAATTTTACGCAACCAATTAATTACTGGCTAACATTTCCGGACGAATGTATAAGTGAACTAGGGTGGGAACACTTTTCACCGCTTAAAGAGCCCATATCCCACGCTCTAGATAACAATCTCACACTGCTGAGCTTAAAGTCCAATGGAGCAATTTATCTCAAAACTGCCTCCTCATATGGCATTGTCTGCATGTTGTGCTTCGCAGCAGTTTTCATCGGCATAAGCTTGGCTTTTCTTTCCACAATCCTTTCCGTGTCGTCTTGCTTGAATCTGTAAAATTTTCATTTACACTATTGCTTTTTTTAAACAAAACAATCTCCAGCAAAAAATTAGTAATTTAAGTGTTAATGTAGATGAGAAAACGGGAATGGTTATAATAATAAAGAGCGCCGCAGATTTGAGGGTTACCAGAACAATCAACATCACGTCACAATATAAACGTACCTGTTGGGCGGTGTCCGGAGTGGAGACAATATAAACGTACCTGTTGGGCAGTGTCCGGAGTGGAGACAATGTAAACGTACCTGTTGGGCGGTGTCCGGAGTGGAGACAATATAAACGTACCTGTTGGGCGGTGTCCGGAGTGGAGACAATATAAACGTACCTGTTGGGCGGTGTCCGGAGTGGAGACAATATAAACGTACCTGTTGGGCAGTGTCCGGAGTGGAGACAATATAAATTATAAACGTACCTGTTGGGCGGTGACCGGAGTGGAGACAATATAAACGTACCTGTTGGGCGGTGTCCGGAGTGGAGACAATATAAACGTACCTGTTGGACGGTGTCCGGAGAGGAGACAATATAAACGTACCTGTTGGGCGGTGTCCGGAGTGGAGACAATATAAACGTACCTTTTGGGCGGTGAACGGAGTGGAGACAATATAAACGTACCTGTTTGGCGGTGTCCGGAGTGGAGACAATATAAACGTACCTGTTGGGCAGTGTCCGGAGTGGAGACAATATAAACGTACCTGTTGGGCGGTGTCCGGAGTGGAGACAATATAAACGTACCTGTTGGGCGGTGTCCGGAGTGGAGACAATATAAACGTACCTGTTGGGCGGTGTCCAGAGTGGAGACAATGTAAACGTACCTGTTGGGCAGTGTCCGGAGTGGAGACGCCTCTAGACTCAGGTAGCCGAATACAGAGGAGTCCGGCCAGTCCTGCCAGAACAGCAAAGAGGATCAACGTACCCGGCCTGAAATTAAATATATTATAGTATTATATATGATGTAAATAACAAAATAGTAAATTATATTATGTGAAATATGATGTAGATATGACGTAAATATGATGTGTAAATTGGCATAACCTGGTATACCTGGTACGTCTGGAATGTGGTAGGCACTGTAAACGTGGTAAAGGTGTGAAACTAGCATATTTTAAGTTAGAAAACTTGGAGAACAGAGTCAACAACCTATCATGTACGATTAAATTGTTATAGCGCTTTTAATTGTAGCTTACTTGCTCCATTTGTTTATCAACAAGCTCGCCTGAGGACCACATACCGCTCCTGAATGAAACAACATTTGTTTAAACTTCAAAGTTTTGGTGGAAGATAACAAGCGGTATAGCACGTTAGTGAGATTTCTAACGAGATAAATTCTCAGTAGCTTTTGATGTTGAACCAATGGATGAGATTGTTGTCACTATAACGTCTGGCGGATGATCTAACTTCAGCATTAAATTATAATGTCACAACTATTTACTGTGGTAAATCTCAATCCGTAATTAAGGGAGAACCTGTGCTGCTACAATAACAGCAAACATATTAGTTTTAAACTAATTACAACACTAAAAATCTATTACATTTATTAAGTATTATGTAACGCGATGGAAATATTTAAGCGGGTATTATCCTGTCCAAACCCAGGATACATAACACGAAGACTTTGTTGTAACTTTGTATGAAAAGCATCAATACCTATCTGAGAACCCAGATGACATATCCCCATGATCTTGCCCCGGTGAGATGTCGGCGCCAGCTCCGCTGTGTAAATGTAAACAGAACCAAACGCCGCCGACACGAAAGTACTGCCCACTAAACAACTCAGCTGCTCCACAGAGATAAATCCAGGAAACTTGGTAGGGATTAGTGCCAGGACAAACGAGGTGCTGGCTGGAATGGGGCAGATTAAGGAAAAAGGTAGAATTAAATGAATGTTTGATACATCTCGTCGGTTGATATCTTATTGATTTTGTAGTTTATTATAAACTATGTATAATCACATAACATTAATATAAATCAAGAGGCTTGCATATAATGAACATATTGACACGGGTGCAGAGTTATGGCTTTTTTCGCGAACTTTTGCGTCATAAAAATTAAATTTCTCCCACAAAATCACACTATGACCTATGCGAAACATTTTACCCAACACAACAACGTTAAAAGTTAAAAATAACCCACCTATAATGTAGAAGGAACTGACTGTAATCCTCCTGCCCATGTAGGTAAGAGGTATTGTCATCAACACATACGCTACAGCTTCAGCAATAGCTGGGTACAAATAACTGAGGTTATAGGTTAAAAATAAAGGGGTTAGGTCTGGAGTTGAGTCGAGAGTAAAGTATGTACTTATGGTATGTAACTATCACGGTATGTACCTGTAAGTATGTAATATGTACCTGTAGCATGTACCTACAGTATGTACCTACAGTATGTACCTGTAGCATGTACCTACAGTATGTACCTATGAATTATGATGGTGTGTACCTATAATAGTAGTTGCCTTCACTGAAGCTGCCCCAGGTAAAAGTAAACCCATAGTAAAGGAACCCCACAACTAGCCACATGAAGGACTGAATCAGTGTTTGTAATGCCATCTCTCTGAAATAATGGTGGCATTAGTGCCATCTCTCTGAAATAATGGTGGCATTAATATCACAAACTCTCTGAAATAATGGTGGCATTAATATCACAATCTCTCTGAAATAATGGTGGCGTTAGTATCACAATCTCTCTGAAATAATGGTGGCATTAGTATCACAAACTCTCTGAAATAATGGTGGCATTAGTATCACAAACTCTCTGAAATAATGGTGGCATTAGTATCACAAACTCTCTGAAATAATGGTGGCATTAATATCACAAACTCTCTGAAAAAATGGTGGCATTAATATCACAAACTCTCTGAAATAATGGTGGCATTAGTATCACAAACTCTCTGAAATAATGGTGGCATTAGTATCACAAACTCTCTGAAATAATGGTGGCATTAATGATATATCCGTCTATATATCTCTCTGAAATAATGGTGGCATTAATATCACAAACTCTCTGAAATAATGGTGGCATTAATGATATATCCGTCTATATATCTCTCTGAAATAATGGTGGCATTAGTATCACAAACTCTCTGAAATAATGGTGGCATTAATATCACAAACTCTCTGAAATAATGGTGGCATTAATGATATATCCGTCTATATATCTCTCTGAAATAATGGTGGCATTAATATCACAAACTCTCTGAAATAATGGTGGCATTAATGATTTATCCGTCTATATATCTCTCTGAAATAATGGTGGCATTAATGATATATCCGTCTATATATCTCTCTGAAATAATGGTGGCATTAGTATCACAAACTCTCTGAAATAATGGTGGCATTAATGATTTATCCGTCTATATATCTCTCTGAAATCATGGTGGCATTAATGATTTATTCGTCTATATATCTCTCTGAAATCATGGTGGCATTAATGATATATCCATCTATATCTCTCTGAAATAATGGTGGCATTAATGATATATCCGTCTATATCTCTCTGAAATAATGGTGGCATTAGTATAGGCATAGCAGACTCTGACATTTTTTTCAACTTCAATAAATATTGAAAATTTAACTCCGGATCAATGGAAAAACAACACTCTAAATCACTCTCTAACAACTAACCTGTACTTGATAAAGTCGAGGAGACTCTCCAGGAATGTCCTCTTCTCCACCACTGTTCCCTCCTCTCTTAGAGTCACCCTATCCAGATCAAAGTCGTGTCCGTTCAGCCGTTTTAACCAAGCCAAGCTGTTTTTAGCTAGTGCTTCGTCTTCTGTTAGTTAACATGTTGTTAAAGTTGGGTTATCTTATTAATGCTTTTCATACAAGTTACAACAAGGTCTTCATGTTATGTAGCCTGGGTTTGAACAGGATATGAGCCTGTGTTTATTACCCGCTTAAAATATTACCACCACGATACATAATACTCAATAAATGTAATAGATTTGTAGTGATGTAATTAGTTTAATATAATATATATAGTTTAATATACAACTAAATGATATAACTATCTGCTCTAAGTACACAACAAGGTTGATTGCCAGTACTGGAAGTAGAATACAACATGTTCACTATAACTACCACTGAAAATATAATATAACACGTACTCTTATTAACGAGGAAGTAGCCAGGGGAGTCAGGCATGATCAGGACACACACCGTGGGTATTATCACCAGACAACTGTTCAGAACTAGTAACCACTTCCAGCTGGGAGAGAGAGAGGTAATCTGGTCAGTTTTGCTGCCATCTGAACTCTACCATTCATAACAAATCCCTAACGAACCGAATCCCTAGCCGTAACCGCAACCGTCATAGTAACCGTCAAATTAACCGTCATGGTATCAGTCATAGTAACCGTCATGATAACAGTCATAGTAACCGTCATGGTAACAGTCATAGTAACCGTCATGGTAACCGTCATAGTAACCGTCATAGTAGCCGTCATAGTAACTGTCATAGTAACTGTCATAGTAACCCTCATAGTAACCCCAACCCCAACCCATCCCTTAGGAATTCGGTCCACTTATCAATAAGTAATGCCTACTAATGAAAAAGTAATAAATAAGTAATTTAATACCCAGTAATGTAATACCTAGTAATGTAATACCTACTAATGTTATACCCAGTAATGTTATACCCAGCAATGTAATATCTACTAATTTTATACCCAGTAATGTAATACCCAGTAATGTAATACCTAGTAATTTAATTCCTAGTAATGTAATACCCAGAAATGTATTATGTAATACCTAGTAATGTAATACCCAGCCATGGGTGATATGATGTATCCGATAGCCCAGAAGAACTGGTACCCACTGTTCACAACAGCTCGATGTTTGGAGGGAGTGTACTCTAGCATGAACACGAAAATGGCGTCCATTGCGCACATCAGCGCCATACCTGCAGGAAAAGGATTTTAAATTTTGGACCGAGTTTGAGCCAAATTTTTATACAGCTGAGAAATTTTTCCTTCATGAACGGACCTCTCGCTGTCTTTTTTTCGCTGAATTTGTTCCCAACATTTTTCTGATAACCATTACAATTCTTCAGAAATCGATTTAAACACCGAAAACAAGCGAAAACGCACATAAATTACGTACCATGCATTTGTCACACCAGCCTCTCTTTTAAAAAAATTTTTTAAATTAAAAAAAATACCTACCCCATACGAATCTAAAGGCAAGGAAGAATCCAATGGAAGGGGAGCCAAGCAGTATGAAGTTGTTGACGAACAGAACGATACACCCTATAAGAGCACCGTACTTTCTTCCGAATACGTCGTAGAAATTACTGATTAAGTGACTGCATTAGTTTTATTCAATATACTTCATTAGTTTAAATTTAAGATTTGAAGTTGGAGATTACTCACGAGATGCCCGAAATAACCAAAATACTGACCCACCCAGAGAACCGACGAGATGCCCAAAATATCCAATAGACCCACTCATGGTCCACAACCACTCTCTATCACAATGTAGATTCCAGTCCATAGAAAATGTGGACCTACCACCCACGTTCCACTGGAAGTCTACTCCTACCAGGAGGGGCTCTGCGTCTTTATCTCCACACAGGTACTCTCTTCCCTGTTCAGCCGCTGTGGGAAGGGTTACTTTTTAACTTTTAGTGTTAAATGTCAAATTTTTGTAAAAAACGAATTTGCGCAATATTTATATGTTTGCAGGGGAAACATATAAATACGTATACATACTTTTGTATTATTTGTTTGGAACAAAGCCAAATTGAATTTAATTACAAATATCTGTAGACTGTAATTTTGTTGGTATCATTTGGTCATAGTAATATAAGGCCTAATGATGAGCAATATATTCAGATAAGTCTGGTTTATTTGTAGGTAATAGATGAAAATGATTAAACAAAATTTACTCACAGATGCCTGAAATTGTAGTCGTCTTTATTCTCTCCTCACACTTGACACTGGTACAGTTCCACTGTTTGTAAGGAATGTATCCTCCGAACGCAGGATAGTAAGAGCCGTTGGAAGCTGTCTAGGATGATACTGTGATATGCAATTAGATTGTTGGCTTCACATCTTACTATACATGAAGCAAAATTACAAAATAGATTAATATTGTCGTCTTTTGACACCACTATACTAGTCGAGTTAAAGTACCTATTAGCAAAATACAGCTTGAATAACTGAGTTTAAGCTATACTCGCTGCTTTCATTAGTTACAGCAAGTAGAAGTCTGCAAAATAAAACAGAATAAACCACCAATATAACTGAGTATTCAATATTAATTCGGAGACTGGTTAGTTTAAAATTATATAAAATCATAAACCAACGTGACACATACCGCCATGAAGGACATTAGACCAATCCAAACTGCCCACATCTGCCACGAAGGTCTGTCTGCTACAATATTGATAACTTGTTCTGTTGTTAAACTACTATCGGAACCAAGGTCTCCCTCGTTCCTTTTTACTTCCTCCATGCTTCTTTTTCTAGTTCGATATCTTGATTGCTTTAGTGTGGGAACGATTCATCAGGTGCCAGTCCCTGCGTTGTTGGATGCAAATAACCAGTACAGAAAAAATTGATTTACACTTTACAGAAACCTAAATTTACCGCGGCCTTTTCCTTATTCCTTAATGAGGATATAGCATATGTATTGGTAGTTGGATAATTCCGGTTGGAAGAGACAAGGACAAATGAAACAGGAAGTTAGGAATGTAGGCAAATTTTCGGCGTCAACGCCATCTTCAGGCTCAAATTATTTGTTATATAGTAGTGTTGAAAGTATTAAAACTGCAAATCCTTATGGGGATATAGCATATGTATTGAAACAATAAAAACCCTTTCGCAAACTCAATGATAACTCAGGGTTTTGAGAACTTATTATTGATGAACAACAATTACCCCTCCGCCAACTTTCTAAATAATCAAATAATACAAATAAACATATATATATAAAAATATTTCAGTATTAAATCCGAACAAGAGCATCAAACAGGTAATAACAATTGAAAGTTTGTCAGGTTGCCGTTTCTTAGTTCTTAGACATGGCATTAGCCAAGAAATAAATGAAATATACTTATAAATCACGATCTGGGGTAAAGTTTAACATACTCTAATTGGAAGAAGCTTTTCGCAAATTAGTTATCCGAAGTTGAGATAATAAGCAATGTGGTAAATTACCGGCCCTTCCCAATACAAGTGAATAGGTTAATGAATAAAACCGAAACCATGTCTTGAACAGTCACTTAATCACACTAATCTGAACTAATTCGAAAAATTAGTCGGTCAACGATTTAATTGGTCAATTAGGGGTTAGATAGGTCAATTAACGGCACTTTACTACCGACTAAACGCACTAAAAATATAGATTAGACCTAAACGATGCACCAAGCTAACAGATATTTCAAACACAATTCTGTTAATGTCCTTATCTACAATTGTATTGGTAAATAGACCACAGTACAAGAAATAGGCATATTTTTACCCCGATGCGACGGACAACCAAGGATGACACCCGACAATTAAAAATTATTAACATAATAAATTACCTACATGATACATATTATTATTATGCAGAAGGGCCATAAAGCGACAGCTAAGCAAGTGCGGATATTTTATGGGTGCCCACAACAAATACCGTGCGTAAGAGAATAAATATTAAATATATATGGTGATTAACCAGTGCACTTAGTAGTACTCGCTTACAGTAACGTGGTGTATTCCGAGGACAAATAATATCGACTGACTTTTTAAAAAGGCGTTTGTAACGTCCCCTTGTAACGAGCGAATGGATGGGGTTTTTATACATTTATTCGCAGATGGTCAGGTGGAAGTAATGTGAAGGAGTTTGGGATAAAACAAAGTTTAAATATTTAAAAATCTTCCCCAACCGTAGAAACAAGATAATGATATTATTATGAAACTACTACCACTCACCAGTAATCACCCTTATAAAGCCATGACGTTGGATAGTTTAAATGGTAGTTATATAACCAATAACCATAGTCTCTCAAGATCAACTGAGCTATAAAATAAAACCGTCCATTATCGTTGAGGTATAATTCAGTGGACAATATGGGGTGTTCAAAAATTACGTCTCATGAATGGGAAAGATGGAGATGTTGCGTTTCAAATATTACTACCGATAGTAAAACTTATAACTAATTATTAGTTAATTATTATAAACTAATAACGTTAGAACTGAGTTTTCTGTTATATAAGGCACAGGTATTTGAATGACGGGTAAAAGAAGCTGTAAATGTTTAACGGTCAAAAGTATTAAAATTGTGTGTTAGAATGAGAGGATTAATCGTTATATCAGTTATTCAAGAATGATGTAGAGATGATAATCAAGCCTGAAGGATAGTGGAAGGAGAAACGCTTCTTTTATTATACGATCTTCCCTGTCACGTGACATACAATTGGCCTGAACGGTTCTGACTGTCACGAGGCAATTAATTGCGAATGTGATTCTGTCACTTGAACTGAACATCTGACGGAAAACAGATATCAAGATTTTATATTTCAACACCGTTTACACAAATCACTGCATATTTGATCCAACGCTGAGTATTATAAAATATAAAACAGCCAATTTGAAAAAAAAAGCTAAAGCCCAAAGACAATATCTTCAAAATGTGGTAAGTGCGTTAAATGTGCACATTTTTCAATTTCATGAAGTTAATTTGGAAACTGGAAAAGTGTTGACAAGATATAGAAGACTGTTGTACACTTACAGACGACAAAGTGGGTACCTTAGCGAAATTTACCCGCTGGGATATTTATTTTTAATGGAATATGAGAATATGCAATTAGTGATAATGGAGTATATGAGAATATGCAATTAGTGATATTGCATGAAAGTGGGCCTGAGTGGTGTCTTGAGGCGTGAAAATGTAGGATGTGTACTAAACTGTAACAATTTCATCGTCACCAGGGACTCAGCCAATTTTGTTTCAATTCATATGCATTGTGTGATCTCTGTTTACAATTACTCCAATTATGATGTTAAAAAATATTACCTGAATTTTGCAAACTAATCAATCAATATAAGGAGGAATACTGATAGGTGTTTCTGCATCGACGATGTATAAAAGTGTTAATAACATGCCAGTTATAGAGAGGATTCTCGTCTCTTCTATTTTCTAATATAGTACATTCTTAAGAATCGCTTTAGACTTTCTATCAATAACCGTTAATTGCTGGGCTACTATCAACAAGCTCATTCCAACAGACAAACAACTGAACGAAGGAGGCATTGCACGTTTACTTTCAGTGATTGGTATTGTGGCTGTCACATTTAAAGCTGTGGTCCAAGTGTGTGTTCGTTAAAACTGGAAGCGGAACAAATTAACGATTAGGGAGTTAATCTCTTTAATTACATTGTTATAGTTCTGTCGACCAATCTTTAAAGTTCCTCCTGATTCATCACCTCCACTCAGAATACAAAAACTGTACACAGCCATACGTTTCCACGGTAACATAAATATCTCAACAACGAAAAAACGAAAAACGGTTCCCCAACTACCACAAGAACGTGACAACTTAATTAAAATCAGGGGAGAGTGTAAAGAGAGGAGAGTGGACTAAAGATCAAGGAGTAGGGGGCATCTAATGATAGTGGGGTACTGAAAAAGGTTCCTTTATGAGCACATTGGAAATAGTCCCAATTTTACGGAAAGTACACCGCGGGATGATTTAATAATTAAATTTACTATAGTGTATATATATTGTAATATTTAATGTAAAGACTATGGCTAATGGCTATTTGTCCACGTTCCTGCACGTACGTACTTATGGAGCTAAACTAACGTATTATAAACGTATTATAAATATACGGTTTTCCCCGCCCATAGGTATCTTAAATAATAAGATAATAGAGAGAACTAATTAGGTCGAATTTAGCGGCAGAATCGTTAAATGGGTCTGTCCCTCATAAATCATCATATTCTATTTCAATTAATTGAACCAAATAGTTCAATTGATTTATTATATATGCCGCCATAGGATGGGCATACATTTTCATTTTCAGATTATAACCGGTATCAGATATTTTCTCAACACCCAAGTTGGGGCAGGATTACTTTCTTTTGAGAGAAATGTTCACCGGTGCATGGTTCACTGCTGATAAATCTGATTAAGGGTGATTTGATCAGCTGTAAACAATTTGAACAAATATTCATAACTATCCTATTATAAAATATACACAAATCTAGGGTTAACGACGATGTTCTGTTTAATTGGTAACATTACTAATTACTTAATTAAGATGGCATTTCCCCCGTTAAACAGATAATAGATTACATAATGTAGGTAGTAAAGTATTGCATGAAAGTTTTGCTTCCACTCAGTTAAGTAGTTATAGTCCAGTTGTTCAGTTTCACGTCACTGTAAAATAGGAGAGTGAGCTCAGAGCTGCTAACCCAGAGATAGTAGGTTTCCGTCTCGAAATGTTGCTTAAATTCAGAGGATTGTGGGTTAAGCTATAGTTTCATAATATAGTGATTAGCATAGGAGGGAATATTTGAAAAATTCACTCTCAGTATTATATGTTTATGTGGGCGACCGCTAAATTTCCCGATCGAATCTATGATTGATGACGGTGTCTGATGCAGTGGCGTAACGTTGCTTGACCATGATTGTTAATGGTCTGGCCCGGCGCGCGCTACTTCGTAGCATTTGCCATCGGGCCATTTCGAGAAGAAAGCGGCGCGCGCTACTTCGAAGAAATTTAGACGAGTAACATCCGTCAAAACGTTGCTTGTTGGCGCGCAGTTTTGCTAGTAGTTTAGTTAAGTTTTCGAAATTGTCCCACATTCAAACAACGATTTGGCCCCCCCCCCGCACAGCGGGGTCAGCGGGGCCCTTCGTTACGCCACTGGTCTGATGTCATGCAACCGTATTTTATATGCCAGCTGACACGGATGACGCAGACGGACATCTGCACACTGCTAATTGAAGATATATTACTGGGCCGAACTCAGCCTGTCATTCCGCCTAATCTCTATTATTTGTTTACCAACATTAAAGCCTGGGGTCCTCAGGTAAAAGATAGAGTTCAAAATATTCACATATCCGCTATAAGACTATATATTTTCCTTTTCCATTATAATGGCTAGGCGACTTTCTCGACCGTTTTAGCGCCGTGCACAGACAATAATAAAATCGAGCAAATTAAAATAACAATAAACTAAACGAGCTGCGTGAGCAATTTTATTGCCATTTAAAAACTGACACAATAAGTCCGAAAACGTAAGTATGTGCCCTATAAGTAAGTGTAAGGCTTTAAATTTCATAATGATTACGATAGTGTAATTTTAACACAATACCTATGTGTAAAACTGATTACGGAAGAGGGATGGGGTAAAAATTGGTCAAAAAGTGATTGCGTAATATGTGAACAACCCCTAACCCTAGTCCATGACTCTTTTATGGTCAACAGCGCAAGATCAGGAAAAATTGAATTAATTCAGCAAGGTTATAGTTCCCATTCTTGTTTTATGTATAAAGAATTGAATTTAGTATCAAATATGTACTGAGAATG